TGCAAAAATTGCTGTCAAACACCTGTCATTAGGCTGAAGGAGATAAGCGAAAATTTTGCCTGGGCGGAGGAAGTAAAGTAGAAATCATTATGCTCGATCTTAAACTTAGTATCCATAACAACGCAATAGAATCCAAAATCAATTTTTAAACAAACGAACAAATTTCAATATATCTCCCCAAGATCATCCCACCCTTACCATACTTGGAAGGCAGTAGCACTTGGTGAGATGATCCGAGCGGGTAGAGGATCTACGAATGAAGCTACCTCCTTAGGTAATTTACACGTTCTTTTCTAGCTGCTAAACTAATTGAACGTGGTTACTCTAAGTCAGTAGTTAGCGCAGCTCTTTCCTCTACACACCGTAAACGACCTACTCACTCTAAAAACAACACCACACCACCACCACTCATACTCCCCTACCACCCTGGTCTTACAGATTTAAACAAGGTGCTAAGAACCCTGTGGACTAAGCACAGACTTGACACCATCATAGGCCAGGCACCATTTATCGCCTGGAAAAAGACGAAATGTCTGGCCAGCCATCTCAGGCACAAACATGTTTGAGATTCGCACCTACCCAGCTGTCTTTTTCTACACCCCTTTTTGTTTTCACCCACACACCTAAATTCTATTGATAAGAAACTGCTCCTCCACTTTAGACTCCATTGGTCTGATGAAGCACTCCTTTAATAGTGCCGAAATAAGCTTATAACCACATCTTCCTCTGGACAGTTTCACTTTTTTTCACAATACACGATTTATCCACCTCCATCATTGCGTTCACTTTTTTCCACTTTTGCCATTGCGTTCAAATTTTCTCTTGCATTGCTTTGTGTTTCTATATCATCCACTGCACCTCATTTCTACATTGCTTTGCATTTTCCACACATTTTCTGCGTTGTGCCGCCCTACCGCCGCTCTACCCGCTCTGCTTGCAGAAACTTTTAACCCTAACCCTAACCCCTTTACTGATAAGGGACCGTTCCAACACATACCCTCCATTGGTCTGATGATCTATCCCTGCGATAGGGAAACAAGCTTGTAACCCATACCTCTGGACGGTCCCGCTCCACTATTTCACCATTACTCCTACATTTAGTCATCAATTGTGTTCCTTTGGCTTTGCATTGTCTTGTGTTACATTTTCCATATCCACCGCACCCTTCGAAACACAGCTTTGCTGTGATTCCGCTTTCATTAGTACCGCCCTACAACCGCTCTGCTCTGCAGAATCTTTTAACCCTAACCTTCACGGCAGGGGCGCACGCCATGATGAAGCATAGGTCCTCCCGCCGCAAACACATCAGCTCACAGCCGATGGCGGAAAAGCTGTCTCCGCCGCACCACCAACAACGGCTTTTATGATCACGAAGTTTTTTAAGGACCGGCCAAAATAAGGATTGTTTTTTTCTCAAACAACGTCGGCGGCTAGCAGGCCGTCCATTAATGGCATCTGTCCAGCTAAATGCTCCAATGGCGGTGGCTCGTCAGCTGCCGGAGTGTTATCGTTTGGTACCGGTGTTAGTATTGGGTCAGTCGGTGGGTGAGCTGGCTCGATCTCGATAATTATGTTAAATTCCGTTCCGTGGTCACCGGCTCCGTAGGCGGCGGCGGCGTCGGTGGTGATCTGCTCCGCCGCGAGAGCATTAATTGCCTCCAACGGGTCCGCTGGCGGTGCAAGTTGCTCTACTGAGGGCTCAGAGGCCGTTGTTGGTGGTGCGGCGGAGACCGGGATTGGGTCTACGAAAGGCGCTAGCTACTCAATTGAGGGCACGGCCATTATTGTCGGCCGTACGGAAGTGAGCGGAGTCATATTGTGTGTAGTCGCGACGGCTGTGATGTCTAGGTCGGGTGTATTATCGGAGTCCTACGGTGTATCGGAGAAGGATGTGGACTGGAGATACGCGTGGTTTTCCGCGGGTTGCTAGCCGCTGTAACAAATGTTGATGACTGCGGGCGGGATGAACTGGTGATTAAGTGCCCGTGGCATGGGGTCATTGTAGTAGGAGTATTTAAGAAGCTGGTTACGCCGGTGATGTCTGATCCAACAAGAGGGATACCGAATTCAACGGTGGGTTAGATCTGTGTACAGTTTTTGGCAGAATTGTATTTCTAGATGAGGAGGTGGTTAGTAGTTATGTATATTTGTGTTTGTAAAGAGGTTTTCCGCCATCCGCTGTGAGCTGATTTGTTTGCGGCGGGAGGACCTATGGTTCATCATGGCGCGCGCCCCTACCGTGAAGATTAGGGTCAAAAGATTCTGCAGAGCAGAGCGGTTGTAGGGCGGCACTATTATAATGAAAGCGGAATGCAAAGCTGTGTGGCGAAGGGTGCGGTGGATATGGAAAATGTAACACAAGGCAATGCAAAGGAACACAATTGATGAATAAATGTAGGAGTACACAGTTTCCTCTGAGACAAAAATGCGATAATACTCATAAAAAGGACACACTTCAGGCTCATTACAAACATCTTGAAAGTTTTTGTCTTCACAAGTATACTTTCAAGCCTTCTCATCAGGTGAAATACAGGCAATGTAGGAGTAATGGTGAAATAGTGGAGCGGGGCCGTCCAAAGGTATGGGTTACAAGCTTGTTTCCCTATCGCAGGGATAGATCATCAGACCAATGGAGGGTATGTGGTGGAACGGTGCCTTATCAGTAAAAAATTTGAAATGAAAAAACCTTCAACAGTAGAAAGTGTGAGTCTATAAGTGTTTGTGTCATGGTTAGATAATTTGAGAGGCACTTAGTCTTCTTCCATGCTATGAATGGTGTGTGACCCAGTTTGGTGTCAAGTTTGTGCTTTTTCCATAGGTCCCAATCCCTGCTTCTATAACTAGTATAAGAACGAAATGGCGCTTTTAGTGACTTTTTAGAAAATGTTGAACGGTCAAATGTTGGACAGTCTCTGCTAGGATGACGACTACACCATAGCTCAGTGGTTAGAGCATCGCTAGCTACAAGCGAAGGTCCCTGGTTCGAGTCCTGGTGGTGACAGTCAATTTTTTCTTCAGACTTTTCCCGTTTGTGTCTTTCCCTCGAACTAGTCAAGTGACTTTTTTGCATACAAATCCACATCTAATAGGGCGCAGTCACCCAGTTTCGGTGGAAGTGCGCGAGTTCGATTGGGAATAAAGTAGGAATAAAGAAGGGAGCGTCTCAGCTTCCTCGGACCAAAACCATTCGACTCAGCACCCCGAATTCGCGAAGCCTACAAGCTACAACTGGTGAACATTTTAATTAAATTATTTTAGGGTATAGTTCCCCTTATACTAGCTTATCGTTAGAACCACCAGACTACTATTATAAAAACTTTTTGTAGCGACTACATTGCCGAAGTACAATCAAATAGTTAGTCTGAGTAGACTACAGCACACCGAACCTGCTTACCTGTACTTGACTTCGTGACAACCGAGACAAACCTCATTCCCTCGAATGTCGTCTGAAAACACCGTCCATCCGCTAGCGGCTTGTACGACTGTGTAGCGTGATGGCGTACTTGCAGCACTTGGGCCAGCCAAGTTGATATGGCCAGAATAAAGCATACCGCGAAGCTGTTGGTTTCGGGAATTCTTCCTCAGCGGACAGCTGTCGAAGAGAAACGCCACAGAACACGAAGAGAACCAAATGACTTGTCCGCGTCGCGTCGGCGTCGGGTCCGCTGCCTGGTATACCGGTAATATTTTCGAAATCTCTGCCTATCACTGACTGTACATGTATAAGTATCATCATGCCTGGTGACAGCTTAGCAGCTAGGGACTACTGCATGCATGCAGTACTGGAAAGATAATAGCGTCTAACAATAACACGTAGATCTACCGGTATGTCACTAGCACTTGAAGTTGAAGTGCTAGAAACACGCCTGCTATGGCAGTATGGGGCCCGTTCAGACCAGTACAGGAACTGAGGAAGGCTCTCCACGACTCTGTCGCTCGGATCGGAGATTTCACTTTCACTGTTTCAGGACTCCTGGATCAGAGATACCGGTAATAGTACTATAATTTTCACCCAGGAGGGAATCATCAAGGATGTACAAATGTAGGGAGACGATGCAATGTCATGTAGATCCTCCTCTTCAAAGGCGTACTACAATTGTAGTACATAAACACTATCTACACTGATTACCCAATGCTGTAGACAGCAAGCTGTCTCGGCCATAAAGGCCTCATCCGTAGATCTTCAGCTATGAGCTTTAACTTAAATAGACCGAGCTAGCAGCCATGGTGCAAAGGAGGCACCACAGACATTAAAGGGGAAGTTAAGCCTAAAATCAAAATTTCACCAGTTGTAGTGTTCGGGGTGCTGAGTCCGGAATGGTCTTGGTCCTAGGAAGCTGAGACGCTCCCTTCCTACAGTAGAGTCGCGCGTCCAAGAACGTTGTTTCCAAGGGGTTAGCCTGGGGCGTTCTTATTTTGTTAGGCAATCTGCCCGCGCACGTTCTGAGAAACAATTCGTACTGGATCATATACTTTAATGAGTTTAATCCCAATCGAAACTGGGCGACTGCGCCCTACTAGATGGGGATTTGTATGCAAAATGCCACTAAAAGCGCCATTTGGTTCTTATAAAAGCCCGGATGGCCGCGATTGGCCCATATGTTGTAGTCTTTTGGACGCCGAGTCGACTGGTTTTGGTCCGAAAAGGCTGCAATGCAGCGTTCAGCCCTTATTCCCAATCGAACATGGTTGAACAAGCGGTCACGTGCTCATGCGTACATCAGTCGGCGTCTCAGCTTCCTCGGACCACAGCGCCAGAGTGCTCAAACTACGAAAGGTAGCGTATTAAATGCAGCAGCACTAGAGCAGCCTACCGAGAGTGCTCAACAAGACAAATGTCGAGGAGTGTAATACCCACCCTGATTATTGAGTTTCTCCAGCGAGGGGTAACCCCCTGATCTTCTCATCCTGGACAACCCTGGCTGGCTTGAGTATGCACGGCCAAAAAAAGTCAAATCGGTTCGGACGGCAACATACTACCCTACACAGAGCAAGGTAACTGACTGGAAACAGGGATTCATATCATACAATTATAGCTGCTGACAGGGAGTTCAGTTAGGCACTCATTGTTGTAGGTTAGCAATCTGGCCAGCAGTGCCAATCCGGCAGGTAGTAACTGTTATCTGCGTGATAGTCGGGAGCAAAATATTGCAGAGAAACTAATTGTAGTGTAATGAGAAACTACTCTAAGTAACTACCGCTACACTAATTACACGTTATGCACTCGGCAGCATGATAATTAAAAGCGAAGGAGCACACTCGTGACCAGCACGGTGAAAGAGCCTCAGCGGCTCTCAGCATATTCTCTGATGGGTGCTAGGAATACAAAGTAATGTTTGGCAAAGATTCCAGGTCTTGAACACTGCCCTGCACTGCCTCCCACAGTGAGCAGTAAAGAGCAGCTATGTAGATCTACACTCTTCAGGCAAACAATCTTGAAACAGGCAACACACACCATACATTGCACTTCGGACTTCGGCACATGCCAGCTCTACCAGTCGTGTGCACAAAGACGAAGAGATTCCACGAGAGCGCGTGATTCCTTTCTACGTTCAGTGCTTGATAGTCATAGTCACGTTGTACACCGAGCAGGGGAGGAGGAACACTGCTGCTAGCGCTGGCTACATTGGCATGGTCGCCTGGACATGCTTTGGCTTACGTACCAGCATATGAAGTTCTTCTCTCGCCTCTTTACAACTGCTGCTTACTTTCTCCTTCACAATTCGCTGGAAATCTGATTCTCATACAGTTTTTGCCTGACAGCAGTGCACCATGGCCAAGGCCTGGGCAGTACTTCTAGTGCTATGCCTGCTAAGACTAATAACACTGTCACAGACTGAGAGTGCCGTGACGTTTCGAGATGCCTACAGAGTGCCGTGACGTTTCGAGATGCCAACAGAGTGACGTGACGTTTCGAGATGCCTACAGAGTGCCGTGACGTTTCGAGATGCCAACAGAGTGCCGTGACGTTTCGAGATGCCTACAGAGTGACGTGACGTTTCGAGATGCCTACAGAGTGACGTGACGTTTCGAGATGCCTACAGAGTGACGTGACGTTTCGAGATGCCTACAGAGTGCCGTGACGTTTCAAGATGCCAACAGAGTGCCGTGACGTTTCGAGATGCCTACAGAGTGAAAGAGCGAAGCAAACACTGTAGGTTTGTAGTAGATGCTGGTGCAGCAAGACAACCGCCGCCAGGATCGCACAAGCTAGTCACCCACTTCCGGGACCGCACAAGCATCACGTCTTGCCCGTACTGAGTTCCTGCTCATCTTCAATATCATGATCGCCAACAGCACAGCAATTACCCTCTGCCACTGTGTCCGTGATTGCATCCATGCACTGAAAGTACGCATAGCGCATATCAAACGCCATGTCGTACCAATAGTTGACAGCGATAGCGCCTTGCGACTGACTGACATGATGGTACCACATGGATGGCAAGAAGAGCATGTCTCCAGCTTTCAGCGTGCAGCGCAGGGGATGTGCATGGCGATACTGCGGCCACCGATTCAGATCTGGCTTCTGGGGATCCAGGGGTATCCAGGGGATGACACCGTGATCTTTCTCGTCCACCACCGAGAATTCTCTGCTAGCCAAGTCCAGCTGATAGCGGGCGCTGGCATATTTCATGTGTGGAATCAGAGGGCGGTCTGTCGGTGGCAGGAGGATGAAGTGCTTCTCGCCACGCACTACGCAGTATAGGTTCTCGTAATGATCTTTATGCATGGAAGTCACAGCGCGCTCATCGCCGATCCACAAATTCACTGCATCTGGCTGGGCGCCGAAAGCTTTGCTCGCCCAGGCAATGTCCAGGTCAGTGTCCTTCCACAGCTCAGCAAAATCCTCCATGAAATTAGAGTTCTGACGCTGCAAGTAGCAAATTCCGGGAAAGTCTTCTTTGCGCTCGATGACGTCAAGAAGTTGCGAGACCGGCATTAGTTGGTCGTGTGGCATGACAAACCGGTTAAGGTCCTCTCTAACAGCATCGGCATAGCCATTAGGTGTAATAGCAACACTGACCTCTTTACTGCCAACAGTCTCTCGTAGATAGTCGTTGCTCCATTTACTGACTGCTGGCCAGTGAGCCACTGCGCCACGCCAGATACATGGCACACCACGGCTGACATGCTCACGATAGAACCATAACGCGTCCGGCTCCCCTTCTAATTCCAGGATAGCATCGAACGGACCAAACTCCGCAGCCTCTCTACTCAAACACAGCAGGTTTTTCTGAACTTTCACATCCATGCTGACACGTGACGGTTCGGCCGAAGCACTGAATTACATAATCCTAAATAATTTGTCATGCACTTTGGAGTATACGTAGGGCTGATCTCACTGCACAAACAAGTGAAACAACACAGAGACCTAGCAATGCACGTGTATGTTCATGGAGATCTATGTTACCAATGTGACGCAACAGCGAATATCGAAGAGTGCACACCACTGCACTTAAGGGTCAGCAACCTAACTACAGGCTCACAATGCTATTATGTAAGCAGCCCCTACTGAACTGCGGGTTTTGAATCACCCAAGGCGATGCATACGCTCAGTCGCTGTCGTTTATTCCTGGTCAAATGGCAGAGTGGTGGAGTCCAAGGAATTCGGATTACAAACGTACATCAAAATCATAACAAGAGGTCTCCGGCTTCCACTTGTAGTTTCGTGGATCTACAAAATGCAAAGACTCAGGAGAGTGAGGGAGAAGCTCTACCCAATACTACGGGCGATAGTTCCCAAATCAGAAAACCCAAGTAATTACAATTGTAGTTCTCTCTTTCACAGTCGACTACAAAAAAATAATACTAATAGTCTCTCTGTCTGATGATCAGCTAGCTGAGCTCATGATTGTGATTTTTGTTTTGAATCTGGAGCTACAAAAGCATGCAGAAGGACGCGTGCGCGCATGCGACATTTGTGTGCATGATCCGGCCGCGCATGCATGCATGATTATTGCGCATGCAAAACCATGGCAACCAAAATATGGCGTCTCCAACGCTTTGTCCTTGTCCGTTTTGAGATGTGTTTGTAGCTAGCAGCAGCCGTACAAAATCGACTGTCCAATCCCGCGATCGCGATCGCGATATCCAATCTGCTTTTTACTGGAGAACATTTTTGTACTATTTTACTCATCTTCTTCTGTTCTTCATTGTTGGTTCTTAGTAGATATCTGGCTTGTACAGTTAGTTGATTTGTTATGTCTGGCGCAAACGAGGCCTTGTTTCCGCTCACCTTGGAGCAAGATGCCAAGGCCAATGAGAAATGCAGAAAAATGCTGGAGAAATCCGCCAAGGATCCCCACATCAAGTTTATGTTTCAGGCAATGAATAGATCTGGCTGTACATTGTCGCCAGAGCATTTCGTATGTCAGACGTGTCCCCCCGAGGCTGAGATGTGTGGAGGTTTTGACGGCAACAAAGCGCTGATACGGCTGTGCTCCAACCGGATCACGGAGATGCCGCAGAGGTTCTTCAACATTGCACTGTCGCACGAGTTAGTCCATGCTTATGACCACTGTCGGGCAGAAGTGAACTGGTCGAATGTGGAACACCAGGCATGCTCTGAGATTCGAGCCTGCATGCTCAGTAGAGAGTGTTATTACAAGTATCAGAAGAAACGAAAGGAGCCATATGGACAAGGCGATCTCGAGAGCTGCATCAAGCCTCGCACGGTCAAGTCCCTGATGTACAATGGAGTGACGGAATCTGAAGCTATCCGGGCGACGCACAAAGTTTTCGCTCACTGCGTAGATGATACGGCCCCGTTTGACCGCGTTCCATCCTGATGAGCCCAATGCGCTGCTGACGCAATACATTTCACTGGTCTGCAGGTGCTCATGTCATCGGTAGCTGCGGCCCAGGTCCAGGGTGGTGAAGTCCATCATCAAACGGCAGTTGGAGACGTTCAGAATGAAAGCTAAGTGTGGCATCGTCTCTGGCCTTTACAGCGTACATGTACTTGTACATACCGTGTGACCTGCCAGCAGAACACACCGTGTGCCGTGCCAGAAGAACGACGTTGCCGTGCTTAAAAAAATCGTTGGCAATGAGAAGTCCAGGATGGCTGAATCAGCCCGTCTGCCCATTCACAGCAGCTCTGTGTTGTTTCTAACCCAGGCCACCAGCAGTGGGTAGATGTACATGCTGGCGTACTGCTGAGACATGACGCTGTGTTTCCCAGCAGGAGTTCACTTCTTTTGACTCGTGTTGGGAAGCGAAATGTTTGGGAACTTCCTCCTGCTGCAAGGAGTTCAGAACTAGAATCCAGTGTGATAGCTTAGAATGTATTTGTTCAATATACCGGTTCGAGTACAGTTCAGATTTGATCTGTCGCTGTTCTTGCACCACAGGGTAGTTGCAGTCTGCATTTCCCTGGCAATCTACTCGCCGAGGAGACACCCTAGATTCCATAATAATTTGCATAGGTGTTCATGATTGATATTTCTATTCTACCCATCCATGCTGAAATCGGGATCATTGGCCAGTGTCTCCGACCGGGTATGAAGAAACTACTTTTTACTTCGTGCATCTGGGTTGAAAATATCTCAAGCAATGACAGGGGTATAACAAATTTCTTTCACTGACACACTCTGGGCATGATGGTGCAGAGAGAGGAGCATGGAATACGAACACACTGAAACCGATGATGTCATTATTTTCTGTCATGTGGACTGGGTAGTTAAGGCAAAGTAGGTGTGTGAGAAATAATCATATCATGTTGTGTGATATACCCCGACAACATGAGTGCGAAGTTTATCCTTTTTATTCAAAAAAAATTAGCAGCATTCTTGGCAGTCGAGGATGTGAACAGCTAGACAAACAAATAGTGCCAAATCCCACCAGGACTCGAACCTGGGACCTTGCTCGTCACGAGGAATGCTCTAGCCACCTGAGCTATGGGACCAGGTCGAACCTACTGAAGTAGAAGGCGATGACTGGTGTTTCACTCCACAGGCAGCTCCCAACATGTGCTACACATACTGATGGAGCTTGCCTTGGGTCTTTACCCCTCCCGGCTTGTTTATTGCTTGTCACCTAGGGTTCCCAGTAAAAAGGCAGTAGCCTGTTGGGACTCCCCTAGTAAAATAATAAAAACTACTACTATACTACTACAGTTCACTTCCCTGAGGCTGACTGTTCACCTAGAAGTTGAAGGGTTGCCATAAACTCAGTAGATCAATTCAATTTTTGTAGCAGACTGCTATACATACCGGTACATGTAAATATGAAAATGAATGAAGTTTTCGAATGAATGTGCAAATGCTAGTAATAGCAAGAGTACGGGGGGTTATGCACTCTTGGTAATAGTTACGTATACAGGCCACCATCGGGAAGAATTATTTTGAGAATGGAATCAATGATTTTGAATGCATACAAAAAAAAGGTCCGGATATGAAGCTGAGTGCGAATGAAATCATTAATTTTGATGTAAACTCCTACAATGTAATTGTTTAGTGTGAAATTCATCAGTTTGAGGGTGCTGGGAAGAAAAAAATGTCATTTCGAAAAAACTTCAGAGTATGTGTTGTATTGATGTATTTAGATTTAATAAATATAACTAAAGTATGGTCACAAGTTCCATACTTGCCCATACGCGGCCACTTCTTTCACTGAGCCGTGTCAGAAAGCTATGGCACATAGTTCAAGGAGTTGCATCCTTTCGCAGTCAACATCATGCTAGCACATGGTATGTGTTACCCACGGGAATCTTCAATTTGTGACATCAAGGAATTCATGATAATTATGGGGAGAAATTAATAGAGTTACATTAGGGGCGAAATAGTTGTACACTAATATGTGGCCAAAATTGGTGACACGTGATATTGTCGTACATATTCAGTAGGCGTCCTGACTGCCGTATGTATTCAGTCAGGTTAGGCTTATACGGAGAGCCTCATCACGTCAACACCAGTGTGTTGACGGTCAAGGTTTTCTTTATCAGAGACGGGTTGGTTGGAACACCATCAGCCAGCCTACTACAGTAGCACAGGCATCGCATACAAACACATGCTTGTTTAGAGCCGATGAGATACCGCGAGTGTAGCAGTTGCAGACGTTTGGACCGAATGAAGAGGGCATCAGCGGAATTTATACTATACTCAGAGCTTCCAATGCCAATAGAGTCTACTTCAGTCCTTCGTAGTGTACTACACACAATGGCAGCACTTGCTCACGAGTGTAGACAACATTGATGATCTGGTCTTCTTGGTCATGGAACGGAGTGCGTAGACTGGTGGCACCGCCTGACTCCGGGGCCTTCCGGGTCGTGCCTTGGGCGGTGATGGTTTTCTCGATACGACCAGGCAAGAAGGTGCACAGGATCATCTGGCCATCTGGTCAGGCACACAGAAATAAAGTCCACGCTGAGTTTCTCGTAGGGTGAACAAGCACAACACCGAAAACTGAGCGACAATCACCTTGTATTCTATAATCAATATTGTAATGTGTATGTGTCAGATAGCTGTCTGTCTTTAAAAGACTCCTATTGTTCAAGCTATCAGTGCCTTCTGGGTGCCGGACCAAGCAGGGTCAGTGGTTTTTCAAAGAACTGAGCACACCGTATAAACTGATGTTATCGCCTTCTTAGTATTTGACCCCACTAATTTCCCTGATACCTAAGCGGTCAAATATATCGCGTATTTGACTGCTTAGGGGCTGTCCGGTGGATGTCAATTTTCGACACCCAGAAGTAATTTGGCATTCTCCATCTGCATTCAATAATTATTTTCAAAACGAAACTCCATCAAACCCACCCACCCCCCCAACCGAAAACTTTTCGTTTTGAAAATATTATTGGTAACCTTGGACGACCCCTTAGGGCCTGGTCAGACTGCGGCAAAATCGAAATAATCCTGTGATTATAATCCGGATCTCCATAGTAACTTGCCGCCAGAGCGGCAAAATCGAGAGTTCACGCTCCAAAAAAAAAGCAAGAACGGACCACGCTTTTCCGCTCCAAACAGGAGTTTGACGCTGATACGCCATTGACGCTGATATTCACTGATTTTTTTCATCTTGATATCGAGGAGCTAATTGGCCACGGACAACAACAAAACTCATAAGGATGGTTGCAAGGATTGCACTGAAGGTGTTGGCAATCCCCAAGGTGAAGAAATTTGACGTCGTTCGTGGAGATTACCACTTGACGCTCAAAATGAAGTTTGAATTTTCATTCTCCCCACGTGTGTAGTGTGATCGCGATTCTTAGTGTGCGTTCTTATATTCTCTAGCTTCTAGAAGAAGAAGAAAAGAGAAGTCGAAGAAACTGGGATTATTCAAGAATGGGTCTCGAAGAATTCGGAGATATTTTGCACATGTCAAGCAAAATGAAGCGCCAAAGGGGCAAAGTGGCCGCAATCTTGAGTGATGAATGTAGTATGCATGTGTGCGTATGAAAAAGGGAAATGCGTACACTCAATGATGAACACGTGGCTTTTAGTCGTAGTTCGCATGCGCTGATTCTAAACCGCGGGAATCTCCAAGTTTCAACCACCTCTGAAGCTTGGAGAGCTTTGGAGAGCCTCCTAAAAGTCGGAGAGGATATAGGAACAGCTCTCGAACTTTTCCGAGAGTCTCCAACTTTTCCGAGAGGATTTAAGAACGCACGCTAATTCTGGACGCTTTTCTTTTTTGTCAGGCAACCAAAATTTGCCGCAGTCTGACCAGGCCCTTAGTCAAATACACAATATATTTGACTACTTATATTTGACTCCTTAGAATTTCTTGGATCATGTGAATCTCAGCCACTCTATATATCCTGTATAGACCTCCTAACCGGTCTATAATCTATACAATGTATATGTCATATTGTTGTCATATTGTTGCATGCAAAGAGGACCAAACTTCACTTTGCTCCATTAATTCCAAGCTCTTACCTTTGGCATAGTAGTCTGACGTATTTGGTGTTTCGGCCAAGTAGACGCCTGTTCCGTAGACATTGCCATGTGAAACACTCACTCCAGAGTCTTGGCCGCCAATACGGAACCCCTCGTCCATGATCACCATGCAGGTGTCTTTCGATGTACCGTGGAATGACAGCGTTTCGCTCGTCGGAATGTCCAACTTCTCGAATTCTGCTACCTTGCCCTCGAACGCCTTGATCAGCTGTGGATTATTCTTGCAGTCCACCTGCAGTACATTGGGCTTGGTCTTGTACCCGGTCTTTAGGTACATCCGATGAAACTGAGACTCGGCAAAGCGGTATAGACTCTCACGGATACCTGTTGCATTGGACTTGATACTGGCCAGTTCATTCTCCTGGGGACGGAAAAAAGTCGAAATACACGGTTCAAGAGGAGAAGTAACAGCATTCATTTTGGCCGTTCAGAGACTACTCCAACACAATACAGCTGTCTGAAGGAATTCAATATCTACCCAAATCCCCGTTATGGTGATGGTGTGCTGCGGCAGTGTGTCAAGGTCGGCCATGCAGGGAGTGCAGTGGTGGTGTGTCAAGGTCGGCAATGCAGGGAGTGCAGTGGTGGTGTATCAAGGTCAGCCATGCAGGGAGTGCAGTGGTGGTGTATCAAGGTCGGCCATGCAGGGAGTGCAGTGGTGGTGTGGCAGTGTGTCAAGGTCGGCCATGCAGGGAGTGCAGTGGTGGTGTGTCAAGGTCGGCCATGCAGGGAGTGCAGTGGTGGTGTGTCAAGATCGGCCATGCAGGGAGTGCAGTGGTGGTGTGTCAAGGTCGGCCATGCAGGGAGTGCAGTGGTGGTGTGGCAGTGTGTCAAGGTCGGCCATGCAGGGAGTGCAGTGGTGGTGTGTCAAGGTCGGCCATGCAGGGAGTGCAGTGGTGGTGTGTCAAGGTCGGCCATGCAGGGAGTGCAGTGGTGGTGTGTCAAGGTCGGCAATGCAGGGAGTGCAGTGGTGGTGTGTCAAGGTCGGCAATGCAGGGAGTGCAGTGGTGGTGTGTCAAGGTCGGCCATGCAGGGAGTGCAGTGGTGGTGTGTCAAGGTCGGCCATGCAGGGAGTGCAGTGGTGGTGTGGCAGTGTGTCAAGGTCGGCCATGCAGGGAGTGCAGTGGTGGTGTGTCAAGGTCGGCCATGCAGGGAGTGCAGTGGTGGTGTGGCGGTGTGTCAAGGTCGGCCATGCAGGGAGTGCAGTGGTGGTGTGGCGGTTGAGATAATTTCAATACTGTATCAGTCTATTCAGTGTTCCAAGCTGTGCCATCTTTCAACCCTAGATATGCATTTGCCGGTGTGCATGAATAGGAGGGGTCAACTTTTCGAAACAAGGTACGGATCAGGGGCGCCGGAACTGGTCCGATGGATCAGGCCATGGCCGGACCAGTTGTTGGGCACCAACCTACGTATACTGAGGAGGTCATGTTTTCTCGCCGTATCATACAAGTATGAAGGACTACGGTATGGCCAGACCAGTCTACAACTGCGTCCACCATGCAGGTCTGAGACTAGCCGGACCAGGTGCTACGGCCCTGCATCTAGTAGAGCACATGTACTTTATACAGCTCAGTGTACTGAGAGGTTTCCCTATAAGTGAACAGTAATATGCATGGCGGCATCGGCCAAGCAACACCAGTCATATAATCTCTTCTTACCGGCAGGCGCTTGAGTGTATCCCTGAACAGAATGTCTCTTTCTTTGTAGTACACTATGAAGCGAGGCTTGGCTTGGTGCGGGCGCAAGCAGATGTAGCGATTGATGCGCGTCTTATCACCATACGGAATAGACTCCAGTTTGATGCAGTCATTGCCAGTGACAAACAGTTGATTGGTACTCCTGAACGTTGTTAACTGCTTTTCCATGCTCACATGGTGCACAGCTCCGGTAGCCACTTCAAAGATGAAAGCAATCTTCTCAGCGCTGTTGTCGGGGTTTGCCAGGTTCTGTACAGGCTCTGCAGTGAACCGAACGCCTGCAGTAGCCACGTGCAGCTCCTTCCGCACACGATAAAGTGGGTCATCACATGACCGGCAAGCCATGCTCTTCTTGACGTCCACAACAGCCGCCTCTTTGCCATCTTTATACGACTCAATGTTAATCTCCATGAAGAGGAGCTTGTAATCTTGTGAAATGAGCTTCATCTTGCATTCCAAGTAGCTCTTCACAAGAGCGGTTTTGGGCTGTATTTTGTCCAGATGGCAGATATCATACGCACGCTCTGAAGCCACTCCACTCTGCGTCAGTAACTGCTCAACTTGCTCGAACGCTTCTTTATCTGTGCTTCTGTCAACAGCTTCCACAGAGCCAACAGCCTCCGTACTGTCTTTTAGTGTATCCAAAGCCTTCTGAAGTTCAGCCCTCTGCAGTGTCCGTTGTTCCTGGATTGCTTGCTGCTTCTTTTCCATCTCGATGCGTTGTTTTCGAAAGCAGTCAGAGCATTGCAGGAGTTCACAAATTTGGTGACACTCGCGTCCACACGGATGTCCACAGTCCTTCCGATTCCTCTCACAAGGTTTCCGGCATGGTCCGGCCTTTACGGAGCAGGCTCGGCTATCCGCGTGTCCGCATTCGGAACGAAAGAATTCAACGCGTTCCATGCACTTCATGTGCTCGACGGCATACTCATGATTGTGACACGACTCCTTGCACTCATGCATGCCGCACGCCATAAGATCTGTGCAGGGCTCCTTGCACAGGGTAGTCTGCTGACTCACGCTGAGAAAGTCTGTCGCCAGCAGGTACTGTGGAGTGCTGGCATGCCGCGGGCACACGAACGGCATCTTGTTGCCACAGCAACCGGTCGCCGCAAGATGGTCTATGATTGTCTTCCAGTGCTTGGATTGGAGAAATGCCCGATGGTCACCCAAAATGTACATGCCACTTCGAGCGCGTGACAAGGCCACACACAGGCGATTCCTTTTTGCCAGATAACCAATGGAGCTGCTGTGTTCACCGGAGCGAACGAGTGACAGAATAATGAACTGGTTCTCATCTCCTTGGAAGTTGTCTACTGAGTCGACCGTAACCGGCAGTCTGCCATTTGGGCTAGGGCTGCCCATTGTATTCCAGATGTCCTTGAGCAGCCTGCGGATAACACGTACTTGACCTTTGTACGTAGCCAGGATGGTTATGTCAGTCAGCTGCACACCTTCTTTGGCCATCCACAACGCCAGGCGTATGGCCAGTTGAGCCTCTCTCTCATTGCAAAAGCTCATGCCACTTTTCTCTTCCGGGAACTCGTGCGTCCAGAAGAAGAGCGATTTGTCCATGCATGCTGCTGGTGTGTTGTCACATGTCGTCTTGCTGTTAGTCTCCAGGCGAGGATAGACCTGCAGAAGGCGGATGAGCTCAGCAAACTCGTCTCTCATTCTGTTTTGGAGATGCAGCACCGATCTCGGATGGCCAATCGAGATTAGGCGCTCAAACATGGAGATGCAAAGCCTGCGCTTCTCCACAGCATAGCATTCAACGTGTGGCTGCAGCTGCTCCTGATCACCGATCAAAATGAGTTGCTTGGCTGATGCTGGGATGGCGGCTATGAGCTGTGGTTCTGAGATCTCAGCTGCTTCTTCAACGAGCACCACGCTTGGTTGAATCACATCCAGCAGCTGGTGGTAGATGGCAGCTCCTGAAGTTGTGAATCCAACGACTTTCGCGCCATGGTGCAGCATTTTCCCTAGGAGAAGAGCGCGCTCAGATGACTTTGTCTCGCATTCGTCCGCGTGATCTTTCAGTTTGTTGTCCAACGCTTGCCAGTATTCCTCCTTCTCAGCAAGCACTGCAGCACATATCCACTTGGCGCGTTGCCCTGCCGTCAACATGTCCAAGTCTCGAATACTGAGGAGATCCTTGTCCTGCCGACATAGGGGCAAACACATAGCGGCGTACTGATCGCATAGCTCTCTTGGGATAATGCTGTCATTTTCTTCCTCTGTGTCCGGCATGGGTACAAAGTTGTCATCTGTATTTGCTGCCTGGATGGGTGCACCGTTGTAATCTGTCTTCACTGCGTCAGAACGAACAGGGAACCGAGCTGGAGCAAAGCCATGCAGAAACTGTGCCGCCAACTCGTCATCCGATTCTTCCTCATCAGCCACTGTATTACAACTAGCTGGAGCACCAGCAAAACGTTTCGTGTATAAGGACAGTTGTTGACCCTGGCCATAAACCTTGACCGTTCGTGTTCTGCTGGTTTGTGCTGATCCAGTGGAACAGGGTTGGGATGGTGGTGCTGCGGGCAGCGAGCTTGTCCTGATTGTGCTGCTGAATTTCTGACTACACTGTTGCTGTACGCATTTGATCATCTCTTTTTCGGCGCTCTCGGCCCAGTAGTAGACGTAGCGATTCATTAGGTGTCCCCTGGACTTCACTGAGATCAGCAGCTTCTGCTCTTCGGTGACAAGCCGCCAGAAGGTCTTCGCAGTGAATGCACCGCTTGGCTGCGATTGCAAACTGCTCCTCACTGCTGTTTTGCAGTCGTCCATGTACGTAAGACCTGGCTTGTTCACAGTGTAACTACCACGGCCTTTCAAGTGGATGAAGCCGTCCTCACGTAGAACCTCATGGCCCTTAGCGCGGTTAGCATATACTCCATGGTCCTCGCTTCTTTCACTTTTTCGCGCACCTTCTGGAAACATGCCGCCCACGCGGACAATTTTGGTTTTCTCGGCAGCTCGACTGCGCGACACATTGGCAAGGAACTCGTTGAGAGCACGGTTCTTGTATGTGATGACTAGGATGGGCCCTGGAAGTGGCGGCTTCAGGGAAAGGAGCAGCTCAACCAGACGACATCCAATGTATGTTTTGCCTGTCCCCGGCGGTCCCTGGATGAGAGCTACTTTCTGGGTCAGAGCCGTGTACACAGCGTGTCGTTGTGTGGCGTCTAGTTTGCACGAATAGCGATTATCCGACAGCAAGCGTTGGTAGCTAGAGGCAGGCTCAACGAGGTCATTGCGCACTGAGTGGAACCATGGAGGAATCATGGGTGACCGTGAGCAGCGTGCTTGTTGATCTGGATCAGGGGACTGATCCATCTCTTCAGCAGGTGTGTCCTCACAAGACGGGTTTCCCTCGGTGAATATCCAGCTAAAATCCATGGTAGCTGATGGCGTAAGGAACGAAGGAGCTGTTTCCACCCAGGACTCGTCATCAGACATGCAGTCGCCAGTGTCGCTGTCATCCGAGTCCGCTGGATAATGCGGTCTTGTGTCATTCTCATGCTGATGTTGCTGCTGCTGCTGCTCGCTAGTCACGGTCGGTGTTTCTTGTTGACTGCCGAGAATAACATCCTGAAATGGAATTGAGACGGAGTCTCCATGATCTTGCAGCACGCTGAGAATGGGGCCATAGGACTTGAAGTGTGTTGGACTTTTGAGAATCAGTGCTGTACCTTGCGAACCAGCAATGGCCATAGCTTCTGTCATTCGGAAGACTTCCCCGCCCTTTGGCGAGAGAAAAGCGATCAGCACATCGAAAGCATCAGTTCGCCAGGCAACCTCTATCACAGTTGCAAACTTCCAGCTGGACCTTGTCGGGTCGAGAGAGATTGCAAGCAGAGCGCCATTGATAACTGATCGCCGATTGAATGCTCTGCACGGAACACAGCAAGCACAAAGGGCAACAACGCTAGCATTAGTCTTCGTTCAGAAACTGTCAAATGTTCAATGCATCTATTTATAATGCTGCATGGGTTGACCCCAGTATGACTGTGTGTGTGTGTGTGTGTGTGTGTGTGTGTGTGTGTGTGTGTGTGTGTGTCTGTGTGCGTGTGTGTGCGCACGCGTGCGTGTGTGTATGGGGGGGGGGGGGCGTGTGTGTGTGCCTATAAATGCACCAACGCTTTGCACAGCTCGATAAAATTCCACCAAAGGTTCCAGCAATTTGTACTCTCTGAGCAGTCCAAACCTTCATCCCTGATGTTCACTCTACACTTTGCTACAATCCAACTACAGTCTAGGTGTTGTTTTTAAATGATTTTCATGAATAATTCATGTAGACCATCACCTATAATAATGTTTTATAGACTCCACACACAGCTCTCGATGGGCTAGTCTGCAAAATGGCGGTCATCACATGCCAAACATTGCACGCTCTTTCTAGCTGCAACAAGTTCTGTCACATCTTGCAAAACCATCTCATCTCATCGTCACGATCAGCTTTCGCCTGGCGCCTAGTCGATGGGTAGCAAAGTCTTGCCTGGCACACGTTGACTGAACACCCGGCGATAACTGATGGATATAGCTAGATGAGATGGATTTACAATATGTGACAGAACGTATTGCAGCTAGATAGAGCGTGTGCTCTTCAGCATGTGTTGACTGCCACTTTAAAGACTAGACCATCGCCTCTAATCTGAATTGTACTACCTACACTCTCTTCGTGCGGGGCGGGGAGGGGGGGGGGGGGGGGGGGCGGGGGTAACAATTATCATCAGATCTCAACTGGAGTTTCAAGCAAAGTCCAATACAGATCCAGTCTGGATAGCAAGAGTCGAAATGACAACAAGAAGATGACAAGTTTCTACGACGATTCTGTAGTCGCTTCCATAATGATGTGATTGTGTACATGCATTTCCCTGATGCCCGAACCCACTGGTCTGCATTATTTCGACTCGACGCGTAGTTCGTCTTCAAGTTCTCTGGTCAAAGCCAAATGAAACTCTACTAAGCTACACAATTGCGAAGGAAAGGTACAGAACAATTGAAATGACGGGGAAAAAGTCTGCAAGTTTCTTACTGTGTTCGGCAGAGCTGTATGGCCAGAGCTACACCGGGCGGGTGTGGCAGGATCTTCACTCCGGTCACACAGATTTCCGTGTACCTGTGTGAGCCACTCTTCACCCCTTCGCGTTGTCTCACACTGCTTATGTCATGCAGTATCTTGCCAAAGCAGTCCTCTCGGAACAAGCGAAAGTAGACACTGATGTAGTCATCGACTGATTGATAGCGTTTCTGGACGCAAACATACTCTGGAATGGAAGTTCCGGGAATGCGCACATATCCGTCCTCCACGATTCGGATCTCGGCAATCTCACTGCTGAGAGGCAATACATCGAGTTCCTTCCAACTCATGCTGGCAGCTTTTCCATCATCAGAATCAGGGACAAATGCTGCCTCAGCCAAGGACATAAGCAGGTTGTGTACAATTTTCACTATCTTGGCCTTGTTGCAGAGGGCAAGCTGCTCAAGTCCTTTCTTCAGCTTGCGCATCATGCGTGGTAGAGTTGCGGGGCAGTGCGTGTTGAGGCCCAACAAGAACCCAGCAATCTGCTTCAGCCTGGCAGCATTACCTCCAAGCTCATCACCTTCTGCAGTCAGACAGGTCTTGATGACTGCTCTGGTATACTGCATTAGGCCACCTTCTTCACTCACAAATCGTGTTCCAGGGAACTGCTGGTAGAATTTGCCGGTCACAGTACATTTCTTCAGTATACATGCTCCGATGGCAACCAGTTTCGCCACAAATTGGTCCAAGTAGTTGAACGATCCAGTGTCAAACATGCTATTGTCAGCATTGAGGTGATTCTTCAGTTGCTTTGAGTATCTCTTTAGAAACGTACTCATGATGAAGTCAGCGTGCAGACAGTTTGGTCGCTTGCATCTCAGATCGGTGTACATGGCTTCCATCAGAGCCATGATGGTGGGGGAAGTCCCTGATTTGTTAAGACTGTCAGGTGGCGGGTCAGCAGATTCATGTAGCTGGGCACAGTGCATAGCAAGCAACAAGCACAGACACCAAATGACACTCTTTATACTGTGTGCTGCAGCCAGAGACTGACATGAGTAGTGCGGAAATATACAGATATCTGTAAAAGGTCTAAAAAAGCAGAGTTACCGTGTCTTTACACGTTCTAGAAAGTTTCGCATCACTCACATTGTATGCATTTCTAAGTGATTACATAGGTGCACACTGCACCAAAAAGCAGGCTCATTTCATTGCTCACAGTTTCTGCTTTCTAATGAAAAAAGAAATCCTCAGTGAAGAAATTGGTGTCAATATAACGTTGGCAGTTGATAAGGCAACACCGCTGCATATTGATCCCTGCTATGTAAATTAAGCTGATCAGTTCACTCTTCCCACTCCCAGCCCCATACCATCTCCAGACGTAGACAATCGGCGAGAGAATTACACTGGTAATACTATTATTTATGACAAGTAGAGGCAGAACACAACTGGACAAGGCAAACCCAAGACGAAGATTGCTTTCATCGTGTTCACACAACAGCAATACGCACATGCGCTAACACCACGTACACACAACGTACACGCCACGTACACACCACGTACACACCACGTACACACCACGTACACAAAAGAACGCACTGCAACAATTGCACCACTCTCACCTTGAGCAGACTCGTTCCAGCTGCGGGTTGTGGAGAGCTGCTGGCACAAATACTTGAACACGGAGATGCAGGATCATCACTTTCACTGTCCTCACCTCTTGCTCTGCCCGGCACATCCTCACATTGGCCAATGGTAAACTACAGCACAGGCAACAGGCAACAATGGACAAGAGCAAACTGCTTTTGATGAAGGAAATGCAAGGGGGTTCCATGCTACATGCACCGTCCTTACCGACAGTTAGACCCAAGGACTGCAGCACAAGTGTGTTCTACCGCTGCTCTACGGCGGCACGTTGGGGAGGGATCAGACGAAATACAGGGTCATTCTAGTCACTTCTTATTAAAGGCATTTTATCAGTAGATGGATGAGGATTGGTTCATCATAGCTCAGGAGCTGTGCCATCATTTATCATCCACAGTAAGAAGGCAGCAATGCCTGTGTTGCATGTGCTACACATGAGTTGTATGTGTTGCTTGTAATTATCATGCACAGTCATCTAGTGCCTTTCTATGCCATCGCATGACACTCCATCCATGTACGGCTTGCCTGCACATGACACGCGTTCATAATCAACCAACCTATGTGGTCTAGCTTGTCATCGTATTGTACACATCCGGTTCTGGATCCTTCTCTCTTCTTCTACTGCTTCTAGCACCTTCCGTCCAGTTCTGATAATCTGGAGTGATTTGCATTTCTTTGTTCTTGTTGTTTATGTTTCCAAGAAGTGAAGTCAAAATAGAATGCTCTCGCATGTTGGGTGTGTGTGCTCGAGATAAGTAACAAAGTTCAAGGATCAAACTTTACAGCCTGTACCTATGGGGAAGTAAAATGCAGATGACATACCGTATTTTCTCTATTAAGAGCCTGAGGTTCTTATTCAGTATTTCACTGGCAGCTCTACCTGCACTACTATCAGAGACGATGCTTTTATTGGAGTCTGTGCTTTTACTCAAGTTTCTCAATGCTCCACTATCAAGCAACTCCAATTTATACAGGCATAAACTGACCATATCAAGACTCCGGATGTGCTCAACCCTAAACTCAGGAATAGAGTGAACCCTGTCGAAGAGGAATGTTCAAGGGACCTTCGAAACGTGGTCTCTGTTACCAGGTGGTCTTCTTATCCAGGGCCATTTGACTGGAAATAGCATCCCTTGACCCTGGTTGCAGTGGTTCTCCAGGACAGGTGGTCGCCTTATCTGATTGTTCGCGTGGACAGATTTTACTGTGGCATGATTGTTGAGTAATATGCTGCTGCATGTACAATGTATGTAACTGTTTGTAGCTCCTATTCTGTGTAGGTCTAGTGACTGGCTGGTCCAATGAATTTTTGTCACGCATGCATTAACATAGACCAAGCCAGTGGCTATAAGTCTCTTCTCTGCGCTAGAGTAATGCATTCATTATGGTTCTTTTCTTTGTCCTAGTGTGGTGTTGGCACCAGCCATCTAGTCGCGCATGTATTACTCTTCTGTCCCATGCGTAGTGCAGTGCTTGGGTGCGCGTGTCATGTATAGTGGGTTTGGTTCCTGATTGTTCGGTGCTGCACCTGTCATGTCTGCTCCCAGTGCTGGCTTGCGAGGTCATGTCGGGTGCGTTCGCTTCCGCTGCATTCATAACTTCTGCTGTACCGTACCGAAGCTGATGTATTGGTAGGTGCGGTATGCGATGTGCTAGGTCCAGACGTAGTACATGTACCCTTGACCTTTTGATCGCACCTGCACGTAATGTTGCACACTACGCATTGTTGCCTTTTTTACTTCTTGCTGGGGACTGGGAGATTCTTGGTGAAGTTTCTTGTTCGGGTAGTTCAGTCTTTTGGTCATTCTCTCTTTTAATTAAGCTTTATCAACATGTAGCAAATTTATCTCCAAGCCTCGGCTGTCCTGGTGGTTGTGTGCCAGTGACGTGTACGTGTGTGACTGAGGAGGGGGAAAATTTGTTTACATGATGTACTGTTGTTTTATATGCAGTCAATATACATGTTGCATTCTTCAATTGTGGCCCGTGCTACTATTAGAGACTGTGCTCTTATTATTTCAAACAACCCTCACCCCGGGTCATTTTTGGAGACGGGGCTATTATTGGAGACCTGGGCTTTTATTAGAGAAAATACGGTAACATACTCGTACGCATTAGCTAGCTCCAGTGAGAGCCTATACATGTCAATCATGTAAAAGGCAATATTCAGCATCACCCCATGTGGATATGGCACTTTTACAATGAATTTGCCGTATCAAAAGCTCATGTCCTTGGCACTTACCCGCATATGTTGTGCAGGGCTCTCTTCATAGACTCGCTTAGCGGCGGCACGGTGCACCGTTTCCTCGTCGCTACTCTGCTCACTATCACTGTCGCTTTCATGACCACGCTGCAGGCAAGACAATGCATGGGACAGGTAAGTTGGTTGTTGCAACCAGTACATAACCCAATAATGACAGTCAGGAAGTGTATCACGCTAAAAGCAACGACGGGCAGAACTCAGAGCTCTCGGACCCTCCAGTTGGTCTTCGAACTCACAGAAAATGATTTTGTACGGTCTGCACTGTAGACAAGGAGGTAAATGCTTCAAGCCACTTTCATTGTGCTGAAAGGGTACCGTACCAGCCAACCATACCAATTTGTTCGGGACTGTCCCAATATCGAGGGTGGTAATAGGCACCCAAACGTGCATTTGCCTCACAGCTACATCTGTGTACATTACCTACATTTTCATACCTAGGTATGTCGTTGTCCCAATCTCAGATTTGCAAGGGTTGGCAGGTGTGGGATACACGCATCCGGATTTCACTTGCTACACGTACAACTAGGGCAGTGTTTGATTTGCCAAAATACGGATCACGATTCATCGTCCCGATTGGTTCCGTTTGTGCTTGCTCAACTTGATGAATGCAGATCAAGATTCGACCGATTTGACGGATTCGGCGAACCCAAGTACCGTACTCGCGCGATTCGAGCCCTCTCTCAAAGAGTGCCGCGGTCTCTAAGAGCCATTGAAATAAAGAAGAAAGACCTCTCTCAAATAGTGTCCCAGTTTCAAATAGTGCCCCAGTCTCTAAGAGCCATTGAAAAAAATAAAGCGGTCTCTTGAATAGTGCCCCCTCCCCCCCCCCCCCCAACCGGATTTGTAACCAAGTACACGTGCAGGCTGGGTGTTCTTTTGCTAATGTACTTGTCACTATCATTGCACTGGTGATTCCAGGGTCAAAATCACAGTTCTTGTTACCGTGGTTACCGTTTCTGTTGAATCGTGATAGTTAACAGTGAACTTTAGGCTCCGTGTTTCTTTGCCTTCTTTTTTTTATGCTGGATGGCATAAATGTACCAGCACTGAAAAAATAGTGCCCTCTCTTGAATAGTGCCCCGGGGGCACTACTCGCGCGAGTACGGTAATCCACCTCCTGATTCAAGATTGCCTGGATTATATTTCGCCTTCAATCATTCTGTCATTTTTGAATACAGTCAGACCACGCTTATCCGGTCCTCTTCTATTCGGATCCCTCGCCATCCGGAAGAAAATCGTTGGTTACCAATGTGCAGCATATGTTATGCATACAATGTCATAACCGGACCTCGCGATCCGCATATCGGTGCATGATTTTGTGTACAAACTGGTTGAAATGCGAACAAAAATCTTCGTCGTATCCGGTTGCACATGGTTTGCAGAAGCTAGAATCAGGGAATTGTACAAACAAATGAGGTCCTTGACCTGCTAGATGCATGCGGATGGCACTCAGTTGCATGCACTTGTCATTTTTCTCGCTTGTTTTACATCGTGCACGCTAGTTGCACTGCATAGGACCCGTCTACATGTATGTACGATGCCACTCCTTTTGATATGCCACATGCATAATATACAGTATGTGTGTTCAGTTATCCGGTATACCTCGCCTACAGTAGAGTTGCGCGCTGAAGAATGTGGAGCCCAAGAACGTCCAGCCTGAGATTCTAAGACCACCACAGCCTAAAGCTAAGAACGGCGGTGCTGGTTTCTGGCAGCTTGTGGGATGCATATGATCCAGTACGGATTGTTTCTACTTCAAGTAAGAACGTCCTATAAGAACGCAGCCAGATTGCTGAAAATAAGAAGGTCCCAGCGTAACCCTTTGGGAACAACGTTCTTGGGCTCGCAACTCTACTGTATCCGGATATTTTTGTGGGGGATAATGGATATTGTTGTATACATTACATGCATCATAGGAGTCGTGTGTCATATCATGTTTCTCATGCTATTCATCCTTGCACACGCTACACTAGACGTCTGCGTAAGGACAGCTTGCTGGTGTGCTGCATGCATTTATTGCTAGTTCCATGCGTAGCTCTTTGCCCTACTGTGGCGGGAAGGTCGTCCCGTGCAGCCACAATGATCCGCTGCGCTACGGAGGTTCAGTTCCGGCAAACATGCGTGCGGATTTGCATTTTGCTGCTTGGTTTTGATGTATTTGTAGTTAGTGCGAGGAAAGAGCTTGCTGGTGCAGTTGTTGTTTTGGTTTGGTTTTGAGTTTAGTTTGCTCTTTGTTGTTACCTGGTTTGAACGATCGCCTTTTGTGGAATCGTTACGCTCCTTGTGGTACAATAATACAGTCTTCAGAAATATCGAATACATAGTGGTCCTTCGAGCCGGATCTAGTCGCGGTTCATTTTATAACCTCGAAAGGATGAGTGAGTCGCGGGCGATCGGACCGAGGCGTAGTGGAAGAAAGACTAAAGGCTGGCACTCGGCTCGATATGGGTTTGAGGAGTCAGATAAAGAGGAGCTCGAATTGAGTTTAGCGAAATTGAATAGGCGAGCGGAGGAACTAAAACTCCTGATCGCAGAGGAGACCGCTTCTATGGAAGCGCTGCATGCAGCCTGGATCGCGCGTGGATTGAGTGAGCGTCATGGACGTACATCTACGGCAGAGCCGAGTCCCGTGCCAGTACCAGTGGCAGTGCCGAGACGACCAACGCCTGCACCGCGATCGCGGAAGACGAGTGCTACTTGTGGTAGTCCAGGAGGTGTTGTCAGAAGATTGGACAGCCGAATGTCGATCTCGGCAGCAGAACAAACTAGTTGTAGTTTTGATCAGCCTGCACTTGATGGAGTAGGAGCGCCTGGAACGGCAGGAGTTCAACTTCAACGTGTGTCATATGCGCCTCTTGCACCTTCACCTGCGCCTCGAACTCGCGTGGAACCCAGACTAGCCAGGTTTAGTAGGTCCAGCGGCAGCAGAAGGCAAGAGCGCAGCAGCAGCGGCAGCAGAAGGCAAGAGCGCAGCAGCAGCAGCGGCAGCAGAAGGCAAGAGCGCAGCAGCAGCGGCAGCAGAAGGCAAGAGCGCAGCAGCAGCGGCAGCAGAAGGCAAGAGCGCAGCAGCAGCAGCGGCAGCAGAAGGCAAGAGCGCAGCAGCAGCGGCAGCAGAAGGCAACAGCGCAGCAGCAGCAGCGGCAGCAGAAGGCAAGAGCGCAGCAGCGGCAGCAGAAGGCAAGAGCACGTCAGCGGCCGATTGAACCCGGCTGATCTACCAAGTCGTGGAGTTGCGGCCTCGCACTTGCAGGATGACGGCAAATGGTGGAGTGGCCCAGAGTTCTTGCAAGAGCGTCCGGAGCGATGGCCGAACAAAGACATCATAGTGCCCCAGGTTCTTCCGGCACTGCTTCAGCGTCCGCACCCGATGACTCTCACTAGCCAGATCCAGGCAGAGCAGACGACATGCCGCCTGCACCCAGACAACGTCTCGTCCTGGAGCAATCTTCTGCGGGTCACAGCCTGGTGTAAACGGTTCCTTGATAATACCAGAGGCCGACCTCAGCAGTGTGACAGCAACGCAGGTGCTACCGTGCAAGTATCTCTCAAGAGTGCTAAGGCTGTTTCGGTTCCCGAATTGACGGTCACAGAACTCCAAGGCGCCGAGCGGCTCTGGATAAGCTATGCGCAGAGGCAGTGCTACGGAGAAGTAGTGTCAACGCTGAAGGAGAAGAAGCCTCTTCCACCCAGTGCACCGCTAACGAAGCTACAGCCGTTCCTGGACACTGACGGTCCACCGCTGCTCCGAGTTGGTGGACGGCTCCGGACCTCACACCACCTGTCTGACCAGTTCCGGTCCCGTGTGATACTGCCCGCCAATCATCGCGTCACTCAGCTAATTGTTGGGCATGAGGATGAACGCTGTCAACACGGAGCAGGCACGAACCATCTGCTCTCTAACCTGGCCGATCGGTATAGGATCATCAAGGGTCGCCAGGTCGTTAAATCCTACCGTCACAGCTGTGTCCGTTGCCAGAAGCTGTGGAGACGTGCCGCTGAGCCCAATATGGGGAACGTGCCAAACATCCGGACAAGCGGACCGTTCGCTCACACTGGAGTAGACTACGCTGGGCCTTTCCTGGTCAAGATGGGACGCGGACGATCTCAAGAGAAGCGCTATATAGCCGCGTTCTCATGTCTGCAGACCCGTGCGTGCCCCCTGGAGGTAGTGCGTTCTCTGGATGTCGAGGGCATGGAGATGGCTTTGGCAAGGTTGTGCCATTGCCGAGGTCGACCAACACTGATCCTCTCCGACAACGGCAGTAACTTCGTTGCTACCGATCGTGAACTGCGGGAAGCGCTGAGGGATTTGGAGCAAGCCAACATCACAGCTGGGTTGGTGATTCAAGGCATCAGATGGCAGTTTAATCCACCGCGATCACCGCCACCTCTGCCGCCGCCACGGAAACCTCCATGGCCGCTACCTCCTGTACCACCGCGGGGAAGAGCGCGGCCGCACTTTGGCGGAGCATTTGAGAGGGTGGCCGGGGCCTTGAAAAAGGCACTCCAGTCAGTCCTGTACAGGGCTAGCCTGACCGACGAAGAGCTGCAAACTTCGTCGTGGGTCATGTCAACGTCGCAACAGCTCTGGAGACGGCGGCAGACTCAGAGTCGACGCCAGTTCACCCATACCATCGCGGAAAGTTATCCAGCAGCTCCTCAGAGATGTTTGGAAGCGGTGGCTAAGAGAAATGGTCTCTGCTATGAACATCATGACTAAGTGGCGCCGCCAATCGGGCACGGTCGAGATTGGAGACGTCTTCCTCGTCATGGACGATGCGTTATCACGCTACAGATGGCCGCTAGGACGCGTGAAGGCCACGTTCCCTGGCAAGGACGGCATTGTTCGCGTCATGGACATCCAGGTCAACGGCAAGAAATATCGGCGTGGTGTTCGATACCTAGTGTCGCTCGATATCCTGACAGCTGAAGCAGCCACTGCGGTATCTCAGTCGTCAGCCCTTGACTTGGATGAGTTGCAGTAAGACACTAATGGAACAGACGTTAGTTAGTGACACAGTACACTTTCGTCACCTCATTTTCTCACTGCTTTCTAGAGCAGTAGGCACTTATTCCTCTATGTGCTGTGTGCTAAATACTAGTATCTTCCTTTGGTGTAGTTTCACTCTCCCCTGGTTCGTTCAAGGTGGGGGGTATGTTGTATACATTACATGCATCATAGGAGTCGTGTGTCATATCATGTTTCTCATGCTATTCATCCTTGCACACGCTACACTAGACGTCTGCGTAAGGACAGCTTGCTGGTGTGCTGCATGCATTTATTGCTAGTTCCATGCATAGCTCTTTGCCCTACTGTGGCGGGAAGGTCGTCCCGTGCAGCCACAATGATCAGCTGCGCTACGGAGGTTCAGTTCCGGCAAACATGCGTGCGGATTTGCATTTTGCTGCTTGGTTTTGATGTATTTGTAGTTAGCATGGTTAGTGCAAGGAAAGAGCTTGCTGGTGCAGTTGTTGTTTTGGTTTTGGTTTTGAGTTTAGTTTGCTCTTTGTTGTTACCTGCTTTGAACGATCGCCTTTTGTGGAATCGTTACGCTCCTTGTGGTACAATAATACAGTCTTCAGAAATATCGAATACAGATATGTTTGTGAAGTGACCCAATGTTTTTGCGGTGTTGCATTTCGTCGTCAAGAACGATGAACACAGTGTCCGGTGTAATGCACTACTTGCCCCCATCGTCTAAAGCAAGGAAATAGTGCCAGTTTTGTTTGGCGAGGTCTCCGCCATGTGGTGCCCGCCAGAAATTAAACTTCTGAAACGGCATTATCATCTCATGTGGCGAGATAGTACATAGCACCTTCGAGCTTCGCACACTGAGACACGGATTTCATAACACAACACAGCTCACTTGTGTCACCGAACTGGCTATTACTATTAGTATTGCAGTGAGCGTTTTTGCACTGCGGGTACGGGTGCCAGTCATGCATGGTCACTCCATCCTATCTAATCATATGTGCGATCACAGACGCAGTTCTGCAAAAGTAAACTAAAAGCGGTGTTCGATTTGCTGATGTAATCCGACCCTAACCCCGATTCGAAAAATCGAACACCCCACCCCCAACTTCCTCCCTCCTCCCATAAAAGTAACCCTTTTCGTGTTTCAGACAGCGCTAGCGGTGATGGCTCTTGAACAAGTGAATTGATGAAGGCAAGGGTGACCATAGTGACTAACCTTCCCTCCGAGCACGACAGGTGGTGAAGTGAAGCGATTGGATTCACCGCTGTTATCGATTCGGATTGGGATCAATGTAACACAGCTGCCTGATCTGCCGGTTCTCGAAAGGCCGAAGCGTGAACGGCAAAGTAGTTCCGTCACATCGTCACGCGGAACGAGTTGCATAGCGTCCGGTTTCCATCTTTCTCTGCGAGCAGTGTGTGGACTATACGAACACCCCCAGCTTCGCCGTCTTCTACCCATGCTAGACTAAAGTCGAAGTGGCATACCAAGCTTGTACTTGTAGGAGGCTGCGGCACTCGTCTTTCGCTCTGACGACCGCTATCAATATCATCGGTACCAGGAGCTGTCTTTCGGCTGCAGGCACACTGAGTCTGTCGACCTCCAGCGACGCCTGGGAAGAAGAAAGCAACTGAACTGGAGCAGCACTAACGTCGTAATAATACGATTCCCTTTCCTCTCTACCACGCTTTGCGAACCAGCCTGCAAGTAACAGTAAGTAATTCGCTACAATGTAGTTCTGGTTTCGAAAGTGTGACGGTAGTTTCGAAGCAGTCATCTGGTCATGGTCTTGACGCAGGGAGCCATGAAAACACACGTTCACGACATGTCGACAGGCTTCTGTGAAGTAAACTGGCAAATCGACTTCTGTGGGCCATCCGCGCCATGCCAGCTGGCCAGATCAGAGCAGCGCCAGACCAGGTAGATCTACTGCACACTGTCTTCCATGGTCTACAGCACCAGGAATGGCAGGATAGCGACTGTAGCTAGCTAGCAAGTAGCATCATGATGCATCACGCATCAGCGCGGACGTCGCGCGAATCCCCGTTCTTGGTTCGAAACTTTCGATTGTTCCAAACTACCAAAGGGAGTTTCCCCCACATGAGATCCATACTGATGCCGTGATGGCTGTCACTGAGTCTGTCAGAGACGCGCGATCATCGGGAACTAACTACAGTGCCTATCGGGCTGTAGTGTGGTCGTGTAAAATAATTAATCACTCTCTTAGTATTGACTCCCATTGATTTTCGCTATACCTTAGCAGTCAAATATTCCTGCATATTTTACTCCTTAGGGCTATTATTGACTGCTTATATTTGACTGCTTAGGGGTTGCGCAGTTGAACGGTGCCTAGTGCAGCATTGTCACTGCATGAGTAGGTGGTGGTGCAATCATAAAACCGGGATTCATGAGGTTATCGTTCTGAAATTTGAAATATGGACTGTTTGTCGCGATAAATCTAATATTGACTTCGTACTTGGTCAGTATAGGAAATAAAAAACCTCGTAAAAGACCTCGGCTTCGCCTCGGTCTTTTACTCGGCTTTTATTTCCTATATTGACCTCGTCCTCAGTCAATAGTAGATACATACTGCCTACAACTTACAAGAATGAACTCTCATATTTTCATAATCATAACATGGGTTTCATGTGTATATTGGAGATGGAGAATGCAGATGATATTGTCAATAAGTTTAACAACATCTTGACGGAGGCGGCAACTTCCATCCTAGGAACCACCCAGAAGCCCAGAAAGCCATGGATCTCAGATGAATGCCTAAGGCAGTGTGATACGCGCCGACAATTGAGAGGGAGCCGCTTTGGTTCTGCTGCGGCACAGGAAGAGTATCGTGTGGCGAATCGGGAGACGAAGCGGTTAATCCGACGAGACAAAGAAAATTGGCTACAAAATAAATGCAAGTCAATTGAAGATGACATCGCCAACCACAACCCCCACGGAGCATACCAAACTCTGAAGAGTCTATGCAGCAAGAAATCAGGATCAGCAATGCAGGTGATCAAAGCAGCAGACGGATCCACTTTAACGAAAAAGGAAGAAGTAGCTCAGTGGTGGTGTGAGTACGGTGCATCTTTGTACAACGTGGACCTGGACGTAGATGATAAAGTCCTTGACGCAATCGTTACTCCAGCCATGTCAGATAATGCCAACAACAATCCCATTCTGAGGACCGAAGTCGAATACGCTATCAACTCCCTCAAGAACAACAAATCAGCGGGGTTCGATAACATTCCTGGCGAGCTTTTGCGACATGGTGGAGATACGTTGGTGGCTGTTATGCACAGGATTTGTGACCTCGCATGGACGAATGGTAGATGGCCAACATCATGGACAAGGTCCATTCTTGTTCCCATCCCTAAGTCTGGAGACCTTCGACAGTGCCAAAACTACAGGACAGTGGGCCTCATCAGTCATCCGAGCAAAGTGCTACTGAGGATCTTGCTGAAGCGCCTGCAGCCGCAAGTGGAGGGTTTGCTGGCGGACGAGCAAGCAGGGTTCCGGAAGGGAAGAAGCACAGTGGAGCAAATCTTCAACCTCAGAATGTTAATCGAAAAGTACTGTGACCATCAGCAGTCTGTGTATCATTGCTTCATCGATTTCCGTAAGGCCTTTGATAGGGTTTGGCACAAAGCGCTATTCAAGATTATGAGAGCGCATGGCATCGAAGCAAGAATTGTGGACCTGATTGAAGCGCTTTACGCTTCTACTGAAGCTGCCATTGTTGTTGGATCCACTATCACCGACTGGTTCACCACGTCAGTGGGTGTCCGGCAGGGCTGTTTACTCTCGCCTTGTCTGTTCAACGTATTCCTGGAGTACATCATGTCTGACGCTTTGGAGGAGTTTGATGGGTCAGTATGTATCGGCGGCATGTGCGTGACCAACCTACGTTTTGCGGATGATATAGATCTAATCGCATCGTCTGTGGAAGAGCTGATGGACCTGACCGAGCGCGTGGATACGAGTGCAACACGACTAGGCATGCAGATCAATGCTTCCAAGACCACGTCAATGGCAGCGCCGGAGGGCGGTGGTGATCTGGGGTGCATTCAAGTAGGCAATGAGCGAATAGAAGAGGTATCCCAGTTTAAATACTTGGGTGCTGTAATCACGTCGGATGGCAAGTCCGATGTGGAGATAAGAAGACGCTGAGCACCAGGGAAGCAAAAGATCATTGAGCTTCAATTCATTTGGAAATCGCCATCACTTTCTTTGCCTACTAAATTTCGTTTTGTTAGGTCTATTGTGCTAGCGACTGTTTTATACGGATGCCAATCTTGGACATTATCTGCCTCATCAATGAGAAGAATTTCATCCTTCGAGATGAAATGCTTCCGCCGACTCTTAGGAGTAACATACCACGACCGGCGTACCAACCAATCTATCCTGGAAGAAATCAATGACATCATCGGAGCAAGGATGCGGCTAGCGAACGAAGTCAAGAAATTTAAGTTGATGTGGTTTGGCCATGTTACGAGACATGACGTTTTCTCCAAGCCCTTCCTGCAAGGATCAACTCCTGGATCTCGACCGAGAGGAAGGCCCGCGACATCATGGATTTCTAACATTAAAAGTTGGACGGGTCTTCCCTTGCATGCTCTCTCTCATGCAGCACACGATAGAGTTGGATTCAGAGACATCATTCACAATTCTCTCGCTGATTAATGCCTCTACGATCACCTTGTGATTATGAGTTATACATACATACATACATACATACATACATTTATTCTTACAAGCAGTGTTATCGTGTAATAGAATATATCGGTCCTAAGAATGGACTTTGTGTAGCAAAACATGCCAGATTGGTACAAAGTGTATCGCCTGTAGTAATAACATCTGCCCAATAGGCCAATACAGTTCTGAACCGACTCGAATTGCATCATAATGCTGCAAGTGCATCTGTTGTGGTCATGTAACTCATGTTGCTCAGCTACATGGTGAACCTATGCAGGCTATGACCCAGTATGGGACTACTTTGGAAGTACAAGCAACCGCATACACAGCAACACTACGTTGCATGTCTGATGATCTTCCTGGCTATGCGCACATGCATATGATACGTCACACTATATTTATCGCGTGTATAAGAAACATCGGAAATAAGAATAGAAAGTCGTTTTTCAAACACCCACGCTATAAGTATAACCGATACCTACTGTACATGCCATTGTACATGTACTGCAAGTCTTACTCGTGTAGCGCTCATCGCCTACATGATTTGGAAAGAAGAAAACCCAATATAATTTTAAAATAATGCAGTCCGTGGAGGTTTACAATATGGATAAGAATGGTATACCAGGCTGTGTGTAATAACGGGCAACACAGATTACATTTCACACATTTCGACCCTACTGACACTGACTTACAATTTCTTGCTTGCATGCGGTAGACCATGGAGTAGAACTACTCCCTGCTGTAGACTACAGCAAGCAAGAAATTATTATTCTTGATTCTTCTGATTGCTACTTGGTATAAATAAAGAAAATATTAATTTTTCGAAGAAGAAACGAGGACCAAGGAACTACAAGTTACGCTAGAATGTCCACAAACACTGGGCCACCATTACAATCAGCTCATGCAATTGCCAGTTAGGTGTAGAGCGTCAGTACTGTTGTTCAGTGTCGTGTAATGTTATCGCATGAGCTGATTGTAAAGTAACTGGTAGTGTTTGTGGACATTCTAGCGTAACTTACAGTGCCTTGGTCCTCATTTCTTCTTATAAATGAATCCTTGGCTCTCCAGTCTCCACCCGAGTCTAATCATGATTTTTCAATTGCAATCATTGAGTACGAAGTAGTGGTTGCGACTTCGGCGATGATTTGTAAGAAAGGTTTGCTCCCCACACCGGAGCTCGCGCTATTCCGCCGACTTTACTTGACACTTGACTGACTCACGACTGCCATCCAGAGCACACGAGAAGTCCATCGAACCTTCGACTCGGCAAACCTGCAAGAAAGCACCACTCCCTGCTCAATACACAGTGTTTCGGGGAATTCACCCCTCATCAGTTGAGCTTGAGTAGGCTGAGGAAGATTGTGCCTGAAGAGCACCACTTATATAGTGCTCTCCAGGCACAAACATCACCAGGGATACAAACTTACAGAGACGCTCCGCTTCCAGCGCGACAAACACCTCGTGAACACCAGATAGTAGCGTGAGTCAGTGTCGCTCCTGGACGGTGAGACAGACGTCGAGGACCCTCGGTCATTCGCAACGCTGTCACCTCCAAACCAACTAGTCGCAAGCCCGCGCTGGGCACAACAGTACGAAGTAGTGGTTGCGACTTCGGCGATGATTTGTAAGAAAGGTTTGCTCCCCACACCGGAGCTCGCGCTATTCCGCCGACTTTACTTGACACTTGACTGACTCACGACTGCCATCCAGAGCACACGAGAAGTCCAACACTGTGTATTGAGCAGGGAGTGGTGCTTTCTTGCAGGTTTGCCGAGTCGAAGGTTCGATGGACTTCTCGTGTGCTCTGGATGGCAGTCGTGAGTCAGTCAAGTGTCAAGTAAAGTCGGCGGAATAGCGCGAGCTCCGGTGTGGGGAGCAAACCTTTCTTGCAATCATTGAGATCTCTGGAATTCATTTTTAGAAATTCGTAGTACCGGTAATGCCACCAGGAGTCAGGGCTGTTAGGGTCCAAATGAATTTTAATTGGCTACGTACCATAGCGAAGACAAGCTCTAAATGTGCAGCAGTCACGGTGTGCTAAATATAAATAGATTAATAGTCAGCTGTGCTAGCGCGTAAAAATAACCCATTGAATTACAGCATTCAATTTTTGGGGCCGACCAATTCAGTCAGTATCTTATGCTCAAGTGTAAAAAGATAAATGCTATAGCTTCACAACAAGAAAAATTCACGGTCCGCTTGAGGCTTAGTTAGGCTGACTTTTCAGCATCCATAGGAACACCACCACACTGCAACTGAGAACAAAGGTGCAGATGCAGCTCCTAAAGCGGTGGGAGGTGAGTAGATCAGCCCACCAGCAAGCCGCCGTCATAACTATATCCTCAGTCATCAAAATCGAGACTTAAAAAAAAAGACTCTGAATTAAAATTAAATTAAAACCCAAAAGCTAACATACAATTAATTCTGGGTGTTAGCGGCTGTACTTGTAGTTACTGAGCTTCCCTAGGAAAATGGTGGAAATTTACTTTGAAAAAGCTTTTTCATGGCATCTACTGGCGGCATGTTCTTCCTACTTGTAGTTAGACATGTCTAACACCCAAACTACCTAATACCCAAACTACCACAATCTAAGATGCCGCAATTCAATGTAGTTGGATGGCTAGAGTTAAAAGAGGGTCCGCTTTTACTGTATCACCGATTCTATCCAAATGATTCTCCTTTGGACCTCAACTTTGATTTCGCGTTTGAGAACCAAGCAGACTGAGGATTACCAGCGGTGCGGGGTAGGGTTGGGAGCCGTCTTGATTGAACGGCATGCGGCTGGCTGGGAAGAGGTCGCGCAGCAAACTCCTTCATCTTTTCTGGGCCAACTTCCACTCGTTTCGCCTTCTGTTGTTGCTGCACTGACTCCACTTGCCTCAGGAACTGCAGGTCCATTGGCTGCAAATCAACAGATGAGGTTCTCATCGTAGTCTTCATGCCAGGCGTCTCCCTCTTTTGTGGAGCTCTTGTTGTGGAGACCTGGGTCCGCTGCTCCGAAATCGTTTCGACTGATTTGACATCTTCATCATCAATAACGTAGAGGTTGCTCGTGGGATCGGCACCATCTTCGACTTCGTAAATCTGCTCTGATCCCACATAGGCATCCGCTGCTTCTGCCCCTGTTGCACTGTCTGCATTCGCACCAAATTGATCATCAGGACCGTCTTCATTATCATCATCCTCCACCATGTAGATGTTATCAGCTTGGGGTACAATATGAGTTGCTGTAGCACATTGCTTTTCAGGGTCATCTTCTTGTAAACCAACAGGGCTGGCAACATCATTGTTCCTGGCATTTTCTAAATCCAAGTAGAGGTTTTCTCCTGGCTGAGGCAATGTACCATCTGGATTCATGCAAGAACCTTCTGACATAAGCCTCTCTGCTTCCTGCTGTGTACCATCAAGAGCTTCGTAGCTGGCATCGGCAGTAAATATTGGGTTCACACGAACAACAGCTGGCTTCGGTCGTTCTGGTTCCAGCTCGTAATGGTTTGTCGGTTTTCCTCGCTCATCTCCATCGTCATTGTATGCCTTATTGAATACACCACCTGGCTCTGTGTTGCTGATCTTCTGACCTTGTTTCAGGCTTGACGTTGAGTGTCGATTCCAATCTTGCTGGTTCTGAGAGGTTAGGCAACAGACACAGCAGGTAACACAGTTTGCATACCTTACGGAAGAATAGCTCAACTCGGCGCTAGATTCAGCATCTTCATCAATAGTACACCCGTCCCTTGTTTATCAGGGCGGTCCGGGACCGAGCACTGCCCGTAACTTTGAAATGTCCGTAACTCCGAATCACATACATTTTGATGGGGAAATGGACATGGCATATGACATCACTATTTCAACAAAAAGTCACAAAAGAGTAGTACTATTTCCACCGAAACTCGCCCAAAGGGTGCCCGGTGGACCGAAGTGCCAGTAACTCCGGGGTCCGGATAGCCGAGGGTATGAGTGTACTTAGTTTCCCAGCCACCACTAACTGTACAGTACCTAAGTCACAGAGTGTGGCTGCATTGAATCATTATACTGTACAAGCCGAAATTGAAAAGAAAGGACCAATGGTTAGAATGTTATCCATAGTTTGTCAAAAACTATCAAACTTGAAGTGATAACCGTACAGTAGTATAAGCAAACCTATGTGTGAGTGAGAAAGTGCAACAGTTGGCACAATACTGCTTGGTATGCCGCACGCCTCTGTGCTTCATATGCCGTACTGACATTCAACAACCTGGTGTTAAGTATTGAATCAGCCAACAAGCCAACAACCTTTCCGAGTTATGAAATATCGTCAGAAAGGGGAACACGAGCGCACTCAAGACGAAACAAGCTAAACATCACAGCAAACTAAGAATGTAAATTATGACTACATGATGACGAAACACAAAGGACCACGGCACAGGCCATAGGGGAAATTTTTTGTATTCACAAGGTAACATTCTACTTTATATGCTAATGTCCCAAAATAGCTATGCTTACCTCCATCAGGAAACCAGAACGTTGGTTTTGCGGCATTCTTCTCTTCTGACGCTTTCTGCCCAGACGAGAGAGGGGAGAGGGGACCAAAACAAAGCCAATGACCACTTTTCAGAGAAGTACAAGAGTGTGTATTTCCATTGGAATCTGTGTCTTTTCAGTCAATGTCTGCAGATACAGTGCTGTCCTTCGCCAAAGAACTGAGGGATGAGCCTCATAGCCTAGGCCGTTCTTATTTTCATGCATTACATAATTTACAGCCTAGGCACAGTTGAGTCACCGTGCATACATCGGTATGATGGGCTTGGTGAAGTTCTAGGCTGTTCGTTCTTCGGCGCCCAACAGTGCTGTATTCCAAAAGCATTCCACTCATTTCCATCAGGGAATAAATAAAGTGGAACTGACAAGAGGCTGCACGCCACAAACACCACAACTTCTAGCTAACACCAGCATGTATACCGGGTCAAGAATAGGGACAAGGAAAGAAATCACACACTGCTCCATTTATGGTGTAGAGTGCACTCAACAGAGGTCAAAACTGAAGTCATTTGCTGCAAGAAAAATTCGAAAAAACCAACAACCACACCACTCCCTCCATGTTGAATATTTCAATCTTACGCCACAAATACAGCGGGAATTAACAAATACAGCGGGAATTAACTGTAAATTCACAAATACAGCGAGAATTAACTGTAAATTCGGACTCTCACAACAAAAATGCCTTACCTCCAGATGGCGACGCATAGAATAGTGGTTGTGATGAATGTGACCAGTGCTGCTGCTGCTACAATGCCTCCAATAACAGCAGCAGATAGCCTGCCATGGCCATCTGGCTCATCTTCTTGCGCAGGTGCAGTTGTTGCGATGGCTGCATAATGTGACGAGAACATTGACGCCGCCGACATTGTATTTGTGCTAGTAACTGTACCAACCGCTGTAGTACCAGACAAGCCCATTGCTGTAGTACCAAATGAACCCATCGTTGCAGTACCAGATGTATCGATTGCTGTAGTAGGAGACGGACCCGGTACTGTAGTAGTAGGAGACGGACCCGGGACTGTAGTAGTACCAGGCAGACCTGTGCATGTGGATATAGGACTGCGTTAAAGGGGAAGTTAAGGCAAAAATCAAAATTTCACCAGTTGTAGTCTTCGGGGTGCTGAGTCGAATGGTCTTGGTCCGAGAAAGCTGAGACGCTCCCTTCCTACTTGAATCCCAATCGAACTCGCGCACTTCCACCGAAACTGGGTGACTGCGCCCTACTAGATGGGGATTTGTATGCAAAATGTCACTAAAAGCGCCGTTTCGTTCTTATAAAAGCACGGATGACCGCGATTGGCCCATATGTTGTAGTCTTTTGGACGCTGAGTCGACTGGTTTTGGTCCGAAAAGGCTGCGATGCAGCGTTCCTCCTTTATTCCCAATCGAACATGGTTGAACAAGCGGTCACGTGCTCCTGCGTACACCAGTCAGCTGGTCACCGTGCCTGCAGGGTACAACTTACTAGCCTGTTTGACCTTTTTTGGGTGCAGTCCTGTCACTCGAGTTGAACTCGAGTTGAACCTTGGTGTGAAAGTTGTCGCCTGCTGGCGTGGTGACCAGGTGATTTGGGCACCCAGGAGCACGTGACCACTTGTTCAACCATGTTCGATTGGGAATAAAGGAGAAACGCTGCATCGCAGCCTTTTCGGACCAAAACCAGTCGACTCAGCGTCCAAAAGACTACAACATATGGGCCAATCGCGGTCATCCGTGCTTTTATAAGAACGAAACGGCGCTTTTAGTGACATTCTGCATACAAATCCCCATCTAGTAGGGCGCAGTCACCCAGTTTCGGTGGAAGTGCGCGAGTTCGATTGGGATTCAAGTAGGAAGGGAGCGTCTCAGCTTTCTCGGACCAAGACCATTCGACTCAGCACCCCGAAGACTACAACTGGTGAAATTTTAATTTTTGCCTTAACTTCCCCTTTAATGGTGATACTACCAGCATTCATGACAAAGACCTGCATAATGGTAGCAGGCCACACTAGCACTGAAGAGAAAATTGATATGAAAAGCTGAGAAGAGGAGGGTGAGGGGTAAGAAGGAGGAGGAGGAAATGTAGACGGTCTGACATGGGGTGCACACGTTAGACCTTAGTTGGCAACTGCACCGGACATGATGACAGCAACGCTCCAGCAGAATAAACAGTTAGTTGTGGTGGAATTGCACCATTTAGCAGCTCGGAGGGCTGAAGAATTGACCGCCGCCACTGTGTGGCTTGGTCTACATATACCACACTGCTTTTTGAAGTGATTTTCTAGCCAGTGAATCCCCGCTTTTGGTCTTTGTTCTCTTTCTCTTTCATTCATATCTTCCTTTCTCCCCACGCGCACATAATACCACTTACTCCGACATGCATGGAAATCAACTGCACATGCCACTGCACCTAGTCCTTATGAGACACACATGCACACACATGCACACACGCACATACATACATACACACATACACACACATACACACATGGACCATTTGACGCCCATCGCCAGAGGCGATGCTACGGCAGAAGCCATAGCAACTTGTGCTGGGATTGCACCATCCAACAGCTTGAAAGGCTGAAGAATTGACCGCCACTATTCAGCCTGGTCTACACCACACAGCTATGAAGTGGCTTTTTCTGGCCAGTGAATCCCTATTTTTTGGTCTTTTTCATTTTTTTCCCGTATACACACCACACCACGGCCACATACTCCGGCATGTACTGGCTGTTGTTAACCACCCAGGAGAATGAAAGAAAAGTCAGGAGGAGAGTCTGAGAAAGAGAAGAAAGACGTGTGTGACCATAATCGTCGGGAATCGAACCCGCAACCTCTCGATTAGAAATCGCTGCACATACCACTGCACCGTATGGGTCCTGGTCCTGGTAAACACTGCCATTACGGTCACGTGTCCCCTCGCGGGGCCGACAATATGGAACGACGAGCGACGGGAGTCTGCTGAGAGAGAAGCACCAGATCAGGGACTCAGGCAGGGACCATGTTCGAGAGAGCCATCTCCGGCAGCTATGGATCTTGCTTATCATCGGAAACGATTCCTCTCACGGCTGCCGCTTGAACTGGTCCATCACTCTCCACAACAAAGCGAACATTCCATGAGCCAATGCTCAGAGTCGTTCCAAGTCGTCGTCTTCGTGCGGTAGTTTGCTCCACTCGCGGGCTTGCAAGGCCTCGCGAAGGACTCCGAGGTGGGGGTGACGAGGAGAGTGTCGGCATCGTAACTATCCGACCAAGTCTCCTGTCGTTGAAGACCCCACCTCAGGCACTGTTTGCGAGGACGGCTGGGGACACCCCGGGCCGTCCACAACGGCGAGAACAAGCACGGACGGAATCGTTTCTGACGATAAGAAACCATATGGAACACATACACACACACACACACACACACACACACACACACACACACACACACACACACACACACACACACACACAAGCAAAGCCTACCGGAGCGGATGCTGATGACTGCTGAAGAAGTGCCGAGTTTACACTGAACAGAGAACTGCGACTTGGTCATATTACATAGAGTCAGCACATACTCACTATCAACTTCAGTCTGTAGACAAGACATACGAGAAACATACCGCAGCACAATGATCAGCATGATTGTACCAAAAGCTGTTCTCTAGGAACTGCATTATGGAGGGCTTCCATAACAAGAGAGCCGCCTAAAGTTCACGAAAATAACAATCAGTGGTTTGCACACAGACTCATATTTTGCTATCACAGCATTGACATACTTCTGCTGAGGAAAAAACCTGTCGCGATTCCTCTAGTAGTCAATACGGTTCAGTGCGCCTGCTCGTTTGCTTCCTTGGGCTTCTAAAAGACCTAATTGATGGCATGTACTGACATGGATGATATGAAACGAAAATGGCTGGTTACATAGTAAGATACGGGAAGTTGTGCATGGGTGTGGTGTACAATAGCACTAAGCTGCCAGTAATGTTCTTTGTAGCAGAAACTCCAGTATCATACCCACTATCATCCGTACCTGCAAATGCACGGGTAGCTCGCTTCCGGTGACCGGCAGCCACGTGGGCGTGACATTGAATGCCTTCACAAACGGGCAGCGGATGTTAAAGCAGTCCGACGAGTTAGTCCCCGTGAAGTTTGGCATGTGGTTGATGCTAGTTGGGAGTGCAGCAATGGGAGTTATCGCAGCTGCAAAAATCAATAGAATGCATAAAAGCAACAACAGGACCCTGCACATGCCATCATACACCCTCATACAACTAATAACATAATGATCTCAAAAATCCCCAGCGCCTGCGCTCTCCAGCCTACTTGGAGCTTTTACCACCACAGGGGCACAAGTCGCACAACTGATAACTAAGCCCGAGTTCTTGATAACGTTAGGATACCTTGGCACATTACGGTGTCAGGGTAATGCGATTACGTCATTACTTGAGATGGTTGGTACGGAGTGGTACCACAACAACCACGGGTCTGCCACTCCATAGTCCATACACACTAAGTCACACAGCATTTACCATGATGTCATTCGCACACGATGATGTCATTGCATCGCCTCTATACAATAATAGTAATCCAGCAGCAGTTAAACAAAATTAATGTCTCTGTTGCAGAGTATCATACAAATCAGTAACCATCAAGGGAAGGCCGCATAATGGGTATCCTGGGCTACTCACAACTAGCACTATCCATGGATGCATCTGCGCACACGGATACGTCATCAAACTGCACCATCTGGTCAGGTTGCATTATCCCCGCGGTCGTTAGCTCCAGCTTCACTCTGGCGAACTGGCCCCGCGATGAGCTCTGGCCCTGCAACCAGTACCACTGCGTGCCATCTGTACCTACAGGAGGCGAGCCAGATATCAGGTGAAAACTGACTACGGTGCCATTCATGTTGTAAACTGTTGCCTCAACTCTAGGCAAAGGAGGTAGCGCGACAGCGGTAGTAAATCTTGACCGGCGTACTCTGGCTCTGCACAAGGTGACAGAACAAAAGCGAACACGCTGAATTGATGAAAGATGCAATGACAAAAAGTCTGATCAGGACAGGAAATGTCTTACCTTGTCACACTGTGGGAACATGTACTTCACTTTGTTGACATTGACGTAAATATAAAAATATTCATCTTGGCAAATATAAACAAAAGGAAAGGAAGGAAATGGGTGAATTCAACAGGCCGAAAGCATGCAAAAGAAGTATACAGCCATGTAAGTAAGTTCAAGTACTTTGATAATGCTTTCCGAGGATGATGTACAGCAGAGTATCTGCGAGCCCAACCATAAAGATAGATTCAAACAGAACCAATGCAAGCACACCCAATGCCTGAAGATGAACTTTAAGTTGGGGATGAAATTAGCTATGCCCATTGCAGGTTGTAACAAGCATACAGTTTTAGGATCTTTTAAAACCCCGATATGAACTTGCAAGAAGGAGGACGAGGATGAGTGGAAGACATTGGAATTGGGGGAACAATGAGGGTGAGACCCCGAGAGATGGTAGACAACCTGATGAATACCGAGTAAGTCGCATAGTGATTGTGATACTGAGAGAATCTTTTTTATTTGTCTTGCAATATCATGGCTGTCCGCAGCCAACCATGCACTAGTTATGGCTGATGTGAGGTGTGAGAAAGAACTAGAGTGCACACAGGACAGGCTCAGCTCCCATTCAGTCATACATCTCACAGAGACTCCCATTCAGTCATACATCTCACAAAGACTCCCATTCAGTCATACATCTCACAAAGACTCAACACACTGACAAGAGTGTATGCGGAGGTAGGGAGGGAGGGGAGGGGAGGGGGAATAGGTGTATGCACATGTCTATCTGTCACTTAGAATGCACTTTTGAACTTACCGTATAGTTAGATCTGAGAGACTGGACGTTGGCTGAACATACACGTCTTGGACCACTCCACTCTTTGTCGTTGTTGGAAACCACTGGACTATTTGTAAGTACTTGTTGCCTTTTATACCGGTTGTATCACTGGTACTCTCCGTGAGAGCTCCCTGGCCGAATTCTTGCCATGGGTACAATGGGTCGAGACCAAACTCTCCGTCCACCACGTAATTATTCAAGCATTTCCCTGTAGAGATGGCAGGGAGAACACTCTAGCCTCTAGTCAAGTGCCATGCTTAGACAGGAGCATACTGGACAGTCTTGGCTGGGAACATATCATTCTGATGACGGGAAACGCTGTGGATGGGGTCATTCCCTTAGTTTCGCATGTCTGGCACATGCAATCTGGGTAGCCATGTTTTTTCAGTACGATCCATTACCCAAATCCAATATCCCGGCTAAAAACTTTGCAGATCCATCTTGACACAGATTGAGTTACTTTCTCTGTCTGAGACTTATAGTGCCTGCAGTATGTTGAACGGCATGACAGCAATCACTTCTCCAGCCCAACCTAATCTGTGACACCAATAATATTGCTCTGCACTCCTAACTCTAAGACGAGTGAAGTTGCACTCTATTGTCCCTATTCAATTCATTGTAACAGATAGCTGTGGGCAGGTGGGAGGAGGGCAGGGCGGGGGGGGGGGGGGGGGGGGGAGGGGGGGGGGCACACATACATGTCTACCATGTCAGCAGTTTGAGACCATATTTATGCTATTGGCGAGAAGATCATTCATTTTTATACCTTCATTCGAAATGGTCAACCATAGCATGATATACTAGTAGAAGAAATGACGTTGCAACTCACACGCACAGCAATAAATAGGAAAATCGATGCAAACATACCAACTACTACAGTACGAAATACGTAAGAAATACGTATCTAAGGATGTGACCCGTTTCACGCGAAGTACGGTTCGGAACTAAGAACCAGAGAAAGAAAATGATAGATGCAGACACATACGCTGGACTTACGGAGTGTGTGCACGCTCACTGTCGTGCTGACTCCATCAAATGTACAGCGGTAGTTTTCAATCCTGTCGCTGTCCAATCGTAGGCTGCTGGATGGAGGCTTGGCTATTTGTGATGACAGTCCGGCCTCATAGAGTGAAACAATCTGTGCGTTGAATTGGGTAGAGGAAAGTGGGTTGAGGCGGGAGGACCGAAGTATTGTCCACTCTGCACTTGAGTCTGCAAGCCTTACAGATTGTGGATAGCCGTTTAGGATGAATGCCCGGCCCGCGCTGACATACACAGGGCTCTTAAGTCCGCTGCGCAGTATCGCCGTGGGCAGTGCTAAAGTACAGAGCAATATGTGACACACACACACACACACACACACACACACACACACACATAAGCACTGAGTGTGCAAGTGTGGACCAGCAGTGTAGACACCTAAATTAATGCCATATTACTACTACATGTACTAATATTACTACTACATGTACTAATATTACTACTACATGTACTAGCAGCCACAGACACCGTCATGTTCAACATTCTTAATTTCTCATGCCAAAACGCTTACGTCCAGGGAAATACAAGTAGCAACTCCTGAAATGAAAAAAATAAGCCTGACCGCTTCCTCAGTCAAGGACATCGGATAGTGGTAACAGTCACTGAGGAGAAATCCTGGCTTCCCCATTATGGCAGTTACAGGCAAAATGGCAAATTCAACAAAAGAGTATTATAATTGCCAATTGGTAACACCTTGGAACTGTGATGAGACACCAGAATGTGTTTATTCCGACAAGACAGAAGGTGACATTGTGAGTCTGAGACACAAAATCATGTGGCATGTTAACAATCCAAGTGGTACATGCAGGTTCACTCATGACAATTATATCCCATTCAGTAAAACTGACATGGGTACTAGGGTACTGTAAAGCCGGAAAGTTAAACGAACAAAAAGTTTAACGTTTTTTGTAATTTTGGCATGATAACGCGCAGAAAGTTTAACTGTTGACTTTGCTATTTCTCTCTCTTCTCTTCTCTCTTCTCTTCTCTCTTCTTGTTGTTGTCCCCCGCTTCTTGGTGCGGTGTGGCCCGATAGGGTAGCTGTGCATAGTAGTGTGTGTGTGTGTGTGTGTGTGTTTGCGTGTGTGGTGTGTGTGGTGTGTGTGTGTGTGTGTGAGTGTGTGTGTGTGTGTGTGTGTGTGTGTGTGTGTGTGTGTGTGTGTGCGTGTATGTGTGTGTGTGTGTGTGTGTGTGTGTGTGTGTGTGTGTGTGTGTGTGTGTGTGTGTGTGTGTGTGTGTGTGTGTGTGTGTGTGTGTGTGTGTGTGTGTGTGTGTGGGTGTGTGGGTGGGTGTGTGTGTGTGTGTCTGAATCTATTTGCCATGAATCTGACTCTTTTCGATGTGATGTTTGTCGCCGTTCTTTCCGCTCCCATTCTGGTTTGAGCCGTCATCACTGTGACCGTGCTAAACGGATGTCACGTACAGCCAGAAACAACTGCTGTCATGAATGCGAACATTGCGAAAGGCGGTTCTCAAGGCCATAGGACTTGCAACGCCATGCCGAATTCTGTTGACTTTGCTATTTCTCTCTCTTCTCTTCTCTTCTCTCTTCTTGTTGTTGTCCCCCGCTTCTGGGTGCGGCGTGGCCCGATAGGGTAGCTGTGCATAGTAGTGTGTGCGTGCGTGTGTGTGTGTGTGTGTGTGTGCGTGCGTGCGTGGGTGTGTGTGTGTGTGTGTGTGCATGCATGTGTGAGCATGCGTGTGTGTGTGGCTTGGCCACCTTGGGCGAATGGAAGATTCCCGTCTTCCCAAGCGCATTCTGTTCGCTGAGGGACTTAAAACACAAGGCCCAGACATGGTCTCAAGAAGCGTAAGGGAGACATCGCCGCTGCTGACCTGAGTACTCGGTGCGTGACGGGTGACTGGTGCGACTTGGTGCAGGACAGACGAGACTGGAGCTGGGCGACTGAGAGCCTCTAGCAGACCTCTCACACCCACCTCAGCCGTAGTGCACACACCGCGTCTGAGACCGTGTCTTTTTTCGCTAGCTTATATACTCTCCCTCGCTCTATGTTGCGGCATAGTAGCTCCCTTGTTCATGTAATAGCTGGCCTACTGTAACAATTATAACTTTGCTGGCCAACTAGCTGAGGCTGCAATCACCTCACCAATCATCTCATGTTTTCACTGTTCCTTTTATTTTACTATAACAATTTTGCAACCTCTCTCTCTCCCTCCCTCCCTCTCTCTCTCTCTCACTCACTCGCTCTCTTTCACTCTCACTCTCTCTCTCTCTCTCTCTCTCTCTCTCTCTCTCTCTCCCTCTCCCACTCCCCCTCTCTCTCTCTCTCTCTCTCTCTCTCTCTCTCTTTCTCTCTCTCTCTCTCTCTCTCCCTCTCCCACTCCCCCCCTCTCTCTCTCTCTCTCTCTCTCTCTCTCTCTCTCTCTCTCTCTCTCTCTCTCTCTCTCTCTCTCTCTCTCTCTTTCTCTCTCTCTCTCTCTCTCTCTCTCTCTCTCTCTCTCTCTCTCTCTCTCTCTCTCTCTCTCTCTCTCTCTCTCTCTCTCTCTCTCTCTCTCTCTCTCTCTCTCTCTCTCTCTCTCGCTCTCCCTCCCCCACCCACTCTTGGTGCGTCTAGGTGGCCATGAAGTCGAGACCCTAGGTGGGCGGAGCTCCCTAAACCTCACCACCACTGCCACGATTCAGGTTGTGCGTGCTTCCCCTAGCTGCATCTCATGTTTGGCATTTGAGTGGTCTTTGTAAAAAATAAAAAAAATAAAAAAAACTGGTGCCTCTTTACAATTTCTAGAATCAGACTCAAAGATTCATCATTGTAAGGAAAATATTTCTTCTTATCTCCGTGGAACAAACTCAACGAACAAATCAGTGAAGCATGCAGCCTGCAAATCAAGGTACGAGCGTTGCCATGGCGGATTGCCAGCAACATAGCCAGTGTACGACGAAAGGAGATAGTGCGGGGAAAACAAGAAGGTACAAGGAGAAGACTGTAAACTCAGGTGAATGCGAGAGAGGAGTTGGTGATAATCAAGAATGGAGAAAGGAAGATCAAAAGAGAGAGAGAGAGAGTAAGTTACATTTATAAAGACAGGTAAGTCTAACAAATGAGGACTGAGACCTCTACAACAGGGTTTTTACGCCTGAAAGCAGGTGCCTGATTTAACAAGCAGGTTGTCAGTCTAGATTTTATGCGCAGATGGAGAAAAAGCGCAGAATTTTTGTAATGAGATGAAAAGCAGAAATAATAAGAAATAATAAGAAAAGATGAAATGAAAGCCTGCTCACAACCCCGCCCAGCCTTGCGAACTGGGTATGGTGGATTAAGAACCCGGTTCAACGCTCGAGCAAGCGCTCTCCACTCAAGGTGTTCACAGCAACTGATAGGAACTCATATGGGGAAATTATAGAAAAGAAATAATAAGATAAAGAGAATAAATTTCAACGCACCTCAATAAACGGAGCCCCACATACAGTACCTCAGAAAAGTGGATCTTCCGACCAGTGTTTTTGTTGACGTCGCAACCAGATGATGTAGCTGCTTCGCAGAGACATCTTACTGCACAAATTACAAATAAATTTTATTCTTTGATTAGAAAACCCAAGCGCTTTCAGAGCCCTCCGAAGAGAGTCCGGGATGAAACCACGCACACCTACCTCAACCGAAAAAGAAACGACCTGCCACCCGTTTGCTCGGCATTGATCGGCCAGGTCCGCATACCGCATGTCCTTCCGCGAGTTACTGACACTGAATCTGTCCTCAGCACAAACTGTCAACTCCATCCAGAATACAATCCTACGACACGTAGAGTATAGAACTATATCTGGTCTTAGGGTGGTAAGTGCAACACAGCTAGGGAAAGAAATCTTTGCACTAACTGAGTAGACAAGAAGCAGGGGCGTAGCACCCGCTACGACTGGTACGACCATGGCCGTACCACTTTTCGAAAAGTGTGGTCCGTCCGGAACGTGCAAAACCGTAATAAAAAAATCAGGATCCATCGATGCATATGCACATCAGACTTTGACCTTTTTCTCGACTCGTACTCGTAGATCTGCCATGCATCTGTGCATGTCCATGCACGTCTCTTATGCCCGTGAAATAATTCTATGACTTATAAACTGTGCCAGAAGTGTGCCAGAAGTTCCCAGAACGCAGGATTTTGTGTCTTTTTTACAAAATTTTCCCGCGGGAGGTCCCCCGGACCCCCTCCGAAACGGCCTTCGGCCGCGCCGACCTTTGGTCGTATCACTTCCAAAACCCCTCCTACGCCCCTGAGAAGTTTCCAGTCTGAGGCCGCTGACAGGAGATCAGTCGTAACCAACTTTCGTCTGGGCTGAACGCGAACTGGCTTCTCTCCCGCCTTGCAATACGAGATAAAGTCAAGCTCATCTGAATTTTCGGTTTGCACGGTGTTTGCAGCAGTGCGGATTCGAATCTCCTCACGCATGTTCCTGACGATGACCACGAGTACGTTGTCGTGCCTCCAGGTGTAACGTCCCTGGTCCAGCGCTACGCGACAAGCGCCAAGCACGTGGCGCGTAGTACAGGCCCAGGCACGGCACAAACTACAGTACGGATCCACTACGGTGTTTCCCCAACGGCGTAGGTTCGTCGGAGAAGGTAGCACGTCGAGGGTTGATGCGAGAAGAAATTTCAAATCCTTACCAGTACCACCGTACAAAAGGGATTTCCACGAGAGGTCCTGCCACATCACCGATGTCTACTCCAACCACTTGCCTTGCACCTGAAGAGTCTTCAGCCTCAAAATCTGCTCCTGCGCGTTGATCTCCTCAAATGTTTGAAGGAGATCCTTCCTCGGGGGGTTGGAATGCTGCTTCGGAGCACGAGCACCCAACCCTGCACGATGACTTGAAGATGCCGGGGGACGGAGAGTCCCTGAACCTACTGATGCCTCTGCACACTCCAGCTCTATTGTCGCCGCATATCGCTTTGTCAGCTTCGCATCCTTACTCCAACGCAGAGTGTACAGCGCCCTCATGCGCGCGTCCCCACTCGATCGAGGAATGTGCCATTTGATGGACTGGCACTTTTTCCATACCGTAGGAAGGTAGTGGAGGCGTAAGCCAAAGCGTTTGCGACTGCCAATAAAAAGAGAGAGAGAGAGAGAGAGGGAGAGAGAGAGAGAGAACGAGGCTGCCTGGTAATCGTATGCAATATCTCACAGCCTCATGTGTAATCGTCCCCGGCAGGTTGTGCCAAAGCCTAAAATGTTCATTTGCGGCTGTGGCAGGGATTTCCGTCGGCCACTAAACCACTATTCCCATTTTTCCGAAGCAGAATTCAAGCATTATCAGTGCTATTTTGGAGCAGAGTGCGAGCATATTGAAAAGCAGAATCCATCAAAACTCTCGAGCATTATCCGCCAGGGCCTAGGGGGGGAGTACGGATTAGAATCTCACCTTTAACGGAGATGGTGGCAGCATAGTAATCCTTGTAGGAACCGTCCGTGACTCTGGACACACAGACGTATGTTCGACTATCACTGATGCTTGCATTTTGTATCTCCAGAGTACCAACGATGAGTGGTGCGATCGGGATACTATGAAAGGTTTTGCTGAGTGTGGTATTGATCCGTGGATAAGACATGGGTGTAATCAAGCTGTTGCTCACCTGCCACTCCATGGTCAAATCAGCTGCATCGACAATCAGATCAACAGGTCATGGTATGATAAAGTATAGGTTCCAGGGTATAATCATCTGCTAGGTGCAGTACATCCAATGTTTGGGGGAGACTATATAGACAGCCTGTTGTGCTGGTTGAGCAATAAGCACATCAAAGACAGTGTAGACGGTTCCATCAGTTCGAATAACACACATGATGACCTAAGTAAAACCAAAGCATAGCGTGGGCTCCTGGGCTTTCAAGCCCTCTTGTTTGAACATGTTGCCAGTATAATCATGTACTTCTGTTACTGGCTCTCAGAGGGTTAGTTCATATATCACCTGTCCACACCGGTAACAGGACCGGGAGTGCCTCTTGCAACCTCTCCCGGCGGATTGTGTTTACGTGAAACAATGCATACCGAAATCATACAGTAAATTGTCGGAGATGTGGGCTTGCAAAGCCTCTCTTTATTACTTTAAGGTTACGAGTATTGACACAAAGCAGGAACGAAGAAGTGAAAAAGGCCTTCCATTGCGACAGTCAGTTGTGCATGCCCTGTCATCTGACACGTTGTGCATGCCCTGTCATCTGACACGTTGTGCATGCCCTGTCATCTGACACGTTGCGCATGTCCTGTCATCTGACACGTTGTGCATGCCCTGTCATCTGACACGTTGTGCATGTCCTGTCATCTGACACGTTGAGCATGTCCTGTCATCTGACACGTTGTGCATGTCCTGTCATCTGACACGTTGTGCATGCCCTGTCATCTGACACGTTGCGCATGTCCTGTCATCTGACACGTTGTGCATGTCCTGTCATCTGACACGTTGTGCATGCCCTGTCATCTGACACGTTGCGCATGTCCTGTCATCTGACACGTTGTGCATGTCCTGTCATCTGACACGTTGTGCATGTCCTGTCATCTGACACGTTGTGCATGTCCTGTCATCTGACACGTTGTGCATGTCCTGTCATCTGACACGTTGTGCATGTCCTGTCATCTGACACGTTGTGCATGTCCTGTCATCTGACACGTTGTGCATGTCCTGTCATCTGACACGTTGTGCATGTCCTGTCATCTGACACGTTGTGCATGTCCTGTCATCTGACACGTTGTGCATGTCCTGTCATCTGACACGTTGTGCATGTCCTGTCATCTGACACATTGCGCATGTCCTGTCATCTGACACGTTGTGCATGTCCTGCCATCTGACACGTTGTGCATGTCCTGTCATCTGACACGTTGTGCATGTCCTGTCATCTGACACGTTGTGCATGTCCTGTCATCTGACACGTTGTGCATGCCCTGTCATCTGACACGTTGTGCATGTCCTGTCATCTGACACGTTGTGCATGTCCTGTCATCTGACACGTTGTGCGTGTCCTGTCATCTGACACGTTGTGCATGTCCTGTCATCTGACACGTTGTGCATGCCCTGTCATCTGACACGTCGTGCATGTCCTGTCATCTGACACGTTGTGCATGTCCTGTCATCTGACACGTTGTGCATGTCCTGTCATCTGACACGTTGTGCATGCCCTGTCATCTGACACGTTGTGCATGCCCTGTCATCTGACACGTTGTGCATGTCCTGTCATCTGACACGTTGTGCATGCCCTGTCATCCGACACGTTGTGCATGTCCTGTCATCCGACACGTTGTGCATGTCCTGTCATCTGACATATTAAATGATTTTTTGCGCACGCGCAAAAATATGTTAACACAGAAGGCGCATGCTCTGTTCCCAACAAACTCTCACACGCTCATTGTTCTCCGAAGTCCACTGTTCCTGACTTCAGTTCTTGCTTTGTCCGCATTGGCAGTGGATTTCTTTCTCAACCTCAATCTCAAGGTTTACCACAGCTCACGGAGATGCCCCGTGCACGTAAGCAGTCGGCTCCCGGGCCCAGGCGTTCCAGTCGCAGGCGCGCCTCGTCGTCCCCGTATGCCGACACTCCAAATCGAGCCCCTGCGGACCATGCGGCCGATCGTTCCGGCAATGCCCGTGCGGATCGTTCCGGCAATGCTCGTGCGGAGCAGGACGATATCCCGTCCGCCGTTCCCCAGCCGGCCAGCTTACTCACAACTGGCCTAGATCCACGTTCCGTTACGGCGGCCGTGTCGACGGCCCTGCACCCCCTGCTGGCTCGAGTCGAGCGCCTTGAGGAGCGAATTTCAGCTCGCCAGGATCCGGACGGCCATGCTCAGGCGGCGGTCCCCTCAGTGGCAGATGTGGTCCAAACCGCGTCCAACACCGTCACCCATCACCCGCCGCAGGTCGACTCCGGCCCCATGGACATTTCCCTCATGCAACCCGCGCTGCCTCCGATCGCAGCGCCCATGGCGAACACTCGTGAGTCCAGCTCTATTGTTCCCACGGTCCCGCGTAAGTTGCTTGACAAAATCACACGCGGCGAATATATTGAGCTGGAGGATCTTCTCCCAGAGAATGTGGGCGCAGGGTCCGAGCCCTTGGAGCTCAGCACCGCCAACGGAGAGGGCCGGCGTGTGTCCCTCAATTTATGTGTGACTAAGAAGCGCTCCATTGTCGACTTCACTGCCTGGCTGGAAGCCTACACAATCTACATGGCCTGCGCACTGAAACATAATTATGCCATTCCGAGCACTGGAGCTGGTGACGTACCAGCACATTATCTGTACTGCCAACCAGCAGTTTGCGACCCCAGCTGTACTGGGGTATGACCGTGCCTTCCGTGCAGCGGTGGCAACAACCTCGGCTCGTTGGGACGCAATCGACCAAAGCCTCTGGAGCCTGCACCTGATCCGGGCACCCCGACCATCATGTCCGCGCTGCACAACGCACCACAGCCGTGACCGTTGCCCACAGTATTTGGCAGGGCCACATGCTCCAGCTGGCACCAACACCAGCCGTTCTACGCAGCCATTTCTGGCCGGGGCGGGCAGCACCCGCCAGATCTGCCTCAACTTCAACCGTGGCCGCCCATGCCAACACCAGCCCTGTGAACGCTTGCACGTCTGCTCAACCTGCGGCGACCGAGGTCATCCCGCCGCTCGCTGCACCAACGACGGTCGCCGGGGACCCCGCCAGACGGACAAGCCCGTCGCAGCGAAGTAGTCTCCCCACGCCTCTGTACATAGCCCGCCTAATGACTCTTCTGCCTCGTATTTCTAATCGTGTCCTCTCTGACTTTATCCTTAATGGCTTGCAACACGGGTTCCCCATTGGCCACTCTGGTGCTTCTGTATCTATCATCTCCGGCAACCTCCCAACTGCCATTGAACATGCTCAGTTTGTACAACAACAAATTGCTGACCGGGTCCGACGTGACGAATCGGCCGGTCCTTTCTCGGTCCAGCCTTTCCACCCATTTGTATGCTCTCCGCTCGGCGTAGTGCCCAAGAACAACGGGAAATTCCGCCTCATTCACCACTTGTCTTACCCTGACCGTATGTCTGTCAATGATGGAATAAACAAGGATTCGTTCTCCCTACATTATGTCACAGTGGACGATGCCATTGAGCGTCTGCAACGTCAAGGTACCGGTGCCTTGATGGCAAAGCTCGACATACGCAATGCATTTCGACTGGTCCCGGTCGCACCCACTGCATACCATTTGTTGGGTTTCCAGTGGCAGGGCCAATTCTACTATGACAAAGTACTGCCATTCGGGCTGAGGTCCGCACCCTACTTGTTTAACTGCATTGCGGACGCACTTTACCAGATAAGCTGTGAACTGTTCCAGGTTCCCCACCTCCTGCACCTTCTGGACGACGTCTGGCTCTGTGGCCCTGCAAACTCAACGCTATGTGCGCAGCGTCTGAACGTAGTCCTCTCCGTATTCCGCTACCTGGGAGTTCCCATTGCCGACTGTTGTGTATCCACGTACACCCTACATGCAGTCTCACACGCAGCTCACCAGAGTCAACCAGCCGGCATGGATACATGTAGAGTAAGACCATGATTCAGAGCATGCGCAATGAGTATATACAAATGCATACAGAGTACATAATATATTACATCAGAGTGCATATATAACAATATCCCCCTCGCAAAAAGAGGTAACACCGAAAACAAAACATTTTCATGACAAGGAACAATAGCATAGAACAGACAATGTAATAATGTACCATCGTCTGACGTGCCAATTATCAAAGTTCAATGTTCTATGTGTGGTATGTACTATACAGAGCATTATACTGATATATACAAATGCAACAAGAGAACCACGTACATGCATTCACGATCATCTCAATCAATCCATGCAAATAATATAATAATTACATATCCTACATGTATAAAATGTCTCATCCGTTATACCGAGCTGGTCTTACGACTGACCGACCAGATCGAGTCACCTGCCGGTCAACAGGTACAGCATCAGCTGGGGCTGTAGAAGCTAACGACTGTTGACCCTGCTCATCCTGCGACTGTTGCCTGGGCTGCTCTTTCTGCTGTGAAGTCGTCGGCTGTTGAGCCTTCTGAGGCGGCAACTGCTGTGGCACCTGCTGCTGCTGCGGCTGAGGCTGTTGCTGTTGTGGTGACAGTTGTTGTTGCTGCTGCTGCTGCGGCTGGAGTTGTTGCTGCTGCAGCTGGAGTTGTTGCTGCTGTGGTGCAGAACGTGTCTGTTCTGCTAACTGAGAAAGTGGTATTGAACGTGGCCGGAGTTGGTTACGGTGTCGTTTCCAGACCACATCATTTACCTGGACAGAGTAATTCATAGCACTGCAGATAGAGAGAACAACACCAGGGACCCAGGTTGTACCATGGTTTTGAAAACGTAACGCAAACACAGCATCACCCGGTTTGTATTCTGGTAGCAAATGCTGGTTTTGATTGAAAGATTGTGCCTCCGCATTCCGTGTTGTTTTCAAAGCATCATAACGTAGTCGTGGTTGGCGATTAAATAGCATTTCTGCCGGTGATTTACCATTCGCCGTAGGAGTTGACCGAAATGTCATTAGAAATCGTTGTAGTCGTGTATCTAGGTCGTCACCTTCTGTTCCCATTGCTTTCATTTTAGCTTTAAAATGACCGACATATC